CGCAGCTTGCACATGTCTTTGAACCAACCCAAGCAAGGCAGTCTGGCTCCAGAGTCTGTAATCTCAACATCCACATTCTATATTCCTACTAATTTCTAAGAGAATTGCTGTTTCTCTACATACCTGCCAACTGACCAGCTTCTTGAATATTTACCAACCTGAAAGGTAGAAAGTAATCCTTATTGAGGTTGAGTGTATTTTCACATTTATTGGTTATACTGATTAACCTGTGAACTACTTGTTCAAATCATTTGCCCATTTCCCTTTGGGTTGCTTGCCTTTTTGTGATTTGTAGTGCCTGCCTTCATAACCATCTTGCTTGTTTCAGTGACTGACCCTGAGGCTTGTTACATTGGCACAGAGCCATGGAAACCCAAAGAAGCTTTGGAGGAGAATGGTGTTATTACTGACAAGGCAGACATATTTGCCTTTGGCCTTACTCTGTGGGAAATGATGACTTTATCAATTCCACATGTTAATCTTTCAAATGATGATGATGATGATGAAGGTATGAATACAGTTTCTAACATAAATCCCAGTCTCTTCATTCACACTAAAGATTAGTTTATATAATTTTTATCTTTCTGTTAAAATGTAAAATAGCAAGTTATAAGATCTTTAGTTGTGTAATTTCTAAGATATGTATTAGTACTGATGACTGATTTTGTACCACCAAGGTTTAATCTCACAAAAATGAGACACAGATTGAGAATAGGGGGAAAAATTGAGGCTATCCAGAGAAGCAAAAAATTGCCTTAAAAACTCTCCTTACCTGAGAAAAATGACTGGAAAGCTATCATAGGAAGGGTGGTAGTAGGGGTCGATAACCTATAAATCCAAGACTAAAGCTAATCTACTTGATAGCAGGACAATTGAAGACATTTCCATTCTGTCTATGGCAGAATGGAAAGCATATTGGACCATAAGACTTGTTTCAGGAGAAGGGTGAGCTATTAAACTTTTCCATGACATAAAGTGATTCTGTTTATTGTTTCAATCTCTCCTTCAAGATAAAACTTTTGATGAAAGTGATTTTGATGATGAAGCATACTATGCAGCCTTGGGAACTAGGCCACCTATTAATATGGAAGAACTCAATGAATCATACCAGAAAGTAATTGAACTCTTTTCTGTATGCACTAATGAAGACCCTAAAGATCGTCCTTCTGCTGCACACATTGTTGGAGCTCTGGAAACAGATGTCTAGTGATCACCTCAGCTGAAGTGTGGCTTGCGTAAATAACTTATTCCAAAACATTTATATAGTTACTATCAGTAGTTGTTAGACTCTCTAAAATTGGCATATTTGAAGACCATAGTTTCTTGTTAACATGTGGATAACTATTTCCAATATGAAATATGCTTATGTTGGCTATAAGCACTTGGAATTGTACTGGGTTTTCTGTAAAGTATTAGAAACTAGCTACATAAGTACTTTGATACTGCTCATGGTAACTTAAAACACTAGCAGTAAAATGCGGTAAACTGTATCTAACATTAATTTAACGACCATTACTTTTATTAATGATCTTGCTTATTCTCTATTTTAATGGATCTACTGAAATTAGCACTTTGTACAGTACAAAATAAAGTCTACATTTTTTTAAAACACTGACTCTTTTGCTGATGTGTTTATCAAACGATAACTGGAAGCTGAGGAGAACATGCCTCAAAAAGAATAGCTCCTTGGATACTTCAGACTGGTTACAGCTTATCTTGAGCTCTTGGATCTCCTCAGATCTTTTTTGCTTTAATTTATTAAATGTATTTTCCATACTGAGTTTAAAATTTATTAATTTGTACCTTAAGCATTTTCTAGCTGTATAAAAGCAATAAAACTCAAATAGAATGATACAGAATAAAGGACACTTTGGGTACCATAAGGTGTCTCAACATTATTTTATATTTAATTGATTTGAGTGTTGTCATTAAACTTGTTGAGTGAATAATGTGAGTAGGTTTCTTTCCCTCTCTTGGCCTTATTTTGCTAATCTGTAAAGTGTTTTGGATCAGTAGTTTCTGTAAGCCACAGTCCCCTGGGAATTTTCTAAATTACTGAATTGCCAATGTAGGTGGTATACCTAGATTTGGGTGTAGACAGAATTTTAAAAATTACCGACACGGGGGGTTCTTAGAAACATTAGGAACAACTGCACTCTGAACTTTAAAAATGCCTAGAAATCACTGAAGGCCTTTTGGTATAAGATTGTACCAAGCAATAGGACACAGATCATTAGTTTGCATATATTCCATCAAAATATTAATGTGACAACTGGAAGTTGTCTTAATCTGTAGAAAAACATATGTATAATTTTGCATCCTGATATTCAATAGGGTCTCTTATCCTCACTCTGACATGTGTCACTCTTCTTTGCCAAGCCAACAGAGCAGCTTCTCCAGGCCATTCTTTTCCTAGCAGTAATAGCAGTTCCTGCTTATAAGACAAAGCAGGAACTGAATCTTTCTTGAATTGGCTCTTTAACATATAAGCCATTGCTTTTGAGAAATTTGTTTCTAGTTCCTACAGTTGGGGTATCTAATAGGAATAAAGTAATACCAAGGACAAGGCCAGCAAATTCACAGCCCTTGTCTATGGTAGACATTATAAAATACTCCCAGCATGCACTGCCCCTTGAGTCTGGTGAGGTCCTAGAAATCCTCAACACAAGATTGCAGATAATCTGCTACCAACTGGGAGAAATTTTTGTATTCTTTTTCTAGAACTTGCTCTTTAAATCTCAGATGTTATCTTTTTGGACATTTGTCTCATTCTCAAAAGAGCAACATGTGACTTGGCTGGCTGAGGGTTTTTTTGTTTTTTTTTTTGAGACAGGGTCTTGCTCTGTCAGGCTGGAGTACAGTGGGGCAATCATGGCTCACTGCAGTCTTGACCTCCCAGGTTCAAGTGACCCTCGCACCTCTGCCTCCCACCCTGAGTAGCTGGGACCACAGGTGTATGCCACCACACCTGGCTAATTATTTTTTTGTAGAGACAGGGTTTCACCAAGTTTCTCAGGCTGGTCTGGAACTCCTGAGCAACCCTCCGTCTAGGCCTCTCAAACTGCTGGGATTACAGGCGTGAGCCACCATGCCCAGTACTACCTTTACACTGAATTAATTAGTAAATCAAAATAACCTTCTCTCAAGTGGCTTTCTCACCTCCCAGAAAATCTTTCCCTTTAGAATCTGTAGAAGGCCTCCAGGAGCTTGTTATGCCTCCATAAAAGGAGATAATCAGCAGCTGCTTGAGAAATGTTGAAGATCATTCTTTCATGTCTCCTGGTACCTATTTAATCTTCTACAATCTGTTGATTAGAATAAAAATTAGAAAGGATTTTAAATGAAACAAATGCTACACATAAAAACTATATATAAAAAATGCTGTATATATCAGCTAAGAATTTAGGAAAAACAAAACAAGCCTCCCATCTTAGGTTACTATAACAAAAATACCATAAACGAGGTGCCTCAAACCACAGAAATTTCTCATAGTTCTGGAGACTAGGAAGTCCAAGATCAAGATGGTATCTGGTGAGGGCATCCTCATAGAAGGCACCTTCTGGCTGTGTCCTTACACGGTGGATGGGGCAAGGTAGCTCCCCCACCCTCTTTTATAAGGCCATTAATCCCTGAGGGTTCCTTCCACATCATGACCCATTCACCTTCCTAAGGCACTACTTACGATGGTATTACATCATCTTGGGGGTTAGGGTTTCAACATATGATTTTTGGTGGAACACATTCAGACCACAGTACCTCCCTTCCAATGAGGGGAAAAAAATTAAAATTTATAGGAAACAGAAAACAAATCTATGATAGATAGGATTAACAATGCCAATCTTTAAAAATACTAACAAAATTGATAAACTCCTAGGCAAAACTAATCTATGGAGAAAAAAGACATGTCATGAGTGAAAAAACTTTACTACAGATCCTACAGATACCCGATCTTATTCATGAACACATCAAAAGTCAAAAAAAAAAAAAAAAAATTAGTTAACTAAAGCCAGTAACATAAAAAAGAAAGACATCAAGACCAAATTGTGTTTGGTTTATTTAGTTCAGGAAAGCTAGATTACTTTAACATTCAAATAACAATGTAACTGCCATATTAACAATGAAGAAAAATCAAAATCATCTCCAAAGATAGAAGAAAGACTTTTTATAAAATCTGAGTATCTATTCAAGATGTTTGAGAGCCTCTTAGAAAACTAGGAATAGGCAGAGGAACTTCCTTAATATTAGAAATTTATCTACAAAGAAACTACAGTAAACCTTATATTTAATAGTAAAATGTTGAAAACTTTACCTATATCAGCAATGAAACAAATATGTCCCCTACCATTGCTTTTATTCAACACTGTACTAGACTGGCGATCTTAGAAATGCAATATTGTAAGAACAAAAAATAAAAGCTGTAAGATTCTAAAAGAAATAAAACTCATTCATAGACATTATGTAGATAAAAATAAATTAGAATTAAATAAGTTTAGAAAGATTGCTGAATACAAAGTGAAAACAGAAAACTTGTATTTTATGTATCAGCAAACAAGATGTAACTTAAAACACTTTTCCCAATGGCTTAAAAAAAAAAAGTATCAGCTGGGCACACTGGCTCACGCCTATAATCCCAGCACTTTGGGAGGCTGAAGTGGGTGGATTACTGGAGGTCAGGAGTTCAAGACCAGCCTGGCCAACATGGTGAAACCCCATCTCTACTAAAAATACAAAATTAGCTGGGTGTGGTGGCATGCACCTATAATCCCAGCTACTGGAGGCTGAGGCAGGACAATCGCTTGAACCCAGGAGGCAGAGGTTGCAGTGAGCTGAGATCACGCCATTGCACTCCAGCCTGGGCAAAAAGAGCAAAACTCTGTCTAAAAAAAAAAAAAAAAAAAAAAACTATCAAATAATCCTCCCAAATTGACCTATATATCTGACATAATTCCAGTAAAATCCCAACAGGCTTTTTTGTTGTTGGTAGCTTTTTGTGGAATAAATTGATTCTAAAATGTATATGGAAATGCAAAGACCAAGAATAGACAAACTATTCCTGAAGAAAAAAAGGTGGGACCATGTACTAATACTATAGCAAACATTAATATTATAATTAACACAGTCTGGTATTGGCATAAATATAACCTATATAAGATTAGTAAGAATAAACAGGCAGAAATAGACATACACATATATGGGCACAATTTATGACAAAGACCGCCAGGAGGATGCCTGAAACCATGGACAGTACTGAACCTGATTGCCCTCAATTGGAATATGTGTCTGTGCATGTCTTCTGCTGACAAATTTGATGCCTTTTCCATCTTAATTGAGCACTCATCACCCACTATGGCTACTCTGAATGGTGGGTAAGTTAAAACTTATGAATTCCTTACTTCTAGAAATTTCCATGTAATATTTTTGGTAACAAACTGTGGGAAGCGAGATTGCAGATAAGGGGGGATTGCTGTACAAGGTGATCTAGGCTCATCTTGTACGTTCATTGCCCTATCCCTAGAATGAGCCATTTCTCCCAAGAGCCCCAGGTCCTTTTGTGGAGGAAGGTATTAGTAAGCAAGATCTGGCTGGGTGCAGTGGCTCACATCTATAATCCAGCACTTTGGGAGGCTGAAGTGGGAGCATCACTTGAGCTCAGGAGCTCAAGGGCCTCAGGAGCTTAAGGACTGGCTGGGCACGTTGGTGAAACTCTGTCTCTACTAAAAATACAATACAAAAATTAAATAGGCGTGGTGACACACACCTGTAGTCCCAGTTACTTAGGGAGCTCAGGCGGGAAGATCACTTGAACCTGGGAGGTCGAGGCTGCAGTGAGGCATGTTTGTACCACTGCACTTCAGCCCAGGGTGGGAAAAAAAAGAAAGAAACCAACCAAGATTTGGGTGGTAGGTGTGCTCATTGCCACTGGGGTATCATTGCTTTGAGACCTTGTCAGTGCACTTGCTTCTTGTATGTGTTACACTTAAAACAAAAAAACACCCAACCAAGCCAAGAGTATCAACAGCAAATCATGCTAAATATTTAGTTCTTGAAATACAACATATCTAAGACATACTGAATTGAAGCAAGATGCAAAATAACTGCATATATATTTAGTTTATCTAAAGTAATAGGCACTAAAAGCAGGATTATGGGAAGCCTTTTGGTCATCTCTATGTATTATCTGAATTTTATGTAACATATACAATTTTCATAATAAAATATAATTAAAATCAGATTTAGTTGTATAAAATATTAAAGAATTTTAATTGATTCATCACAAAAGCATTAAACAATGTTAATTTAAAATTTTAAATAAAATAATTAAAAGAAATAAACAAGTACAGAAAATAGCATTAAAATATTTGCATAATTACATACATTTTAATACTTCCACATTCTTTTGGGAACCCAGGCTTTAAAATTTTGGAAACATGTTAACTCACTGGCAAATAAAATGAATGCAGATGAACAGTTTCTACATATAATTACAATCTGGAAAACGACTTGCCTATAATCTTTCTGCCAGCAGTTGAATGATTTTTTAGAATCAAAATAATTTGAACAATGTTTTGCTTTTTAAAGTATCCAAGAATTACACTAGAAAAATGTGTGAACATTTAAGTGTATTTACACAGTTCCATGGTCTCTGATCCACCAGCCTATGTATATTTACTAACCTTGGTTCTATTACCATACATTTTGTAAAGACTTTTGCCAGGTATCTCAGAACAAGTAAGGTGCATTTTAAACAAGCAAAAAACTAGAAAATGAAACATCTAATCCAGCTAGGCATTTTGTTAATGACATCAATTGTCAGTAACAGGTTCCTAAAGTAGCACTACCAACATTTCCATACAACAAAAATTAACTAAATGATAATAGTGCAATTACCAAGTATAATTTTAATTAAATCTGATGACAGGTAAACATTTAATTTTATTTTCAAAAAGATTAAACATTAAGCTATAGAATTCTGCTCTACAGAAATGCATATGGGATAATCTTATTCCTTACCATCTTGTTACAAGTAAGAAATTCTAAACATTTTCTAAAGATATTCAAACTGAGTTACAACAGATGAGTGCCTATCAAGTGAAGACTTTGTATAGAGAAGTCAGGAATTAGGCTGGGCACAGTGGCTATGACTGTAATCCCAGCACTTTGGGAGGATCGCTTGAGCCCAAAAGTTCCAGAGAAGCCTGGGCAATATAGTGAGACCCACGCCTCGATTAAAAAAAAAAAAAAAAAAAATTCAGGAATTCCCTTTACAAATTGGGCATAGAAATTACTTGCCCAAGTTTAAATTTGCCTCTTTGCTTCTGATGTGGCATTAGATAATCCTGGCCCAAGAGTGTGCTTAATAAAAGACCAGGTCACATTTCTAGAGAAAAACCACTTTGTCAATACTCTTACATAAGAGTCAGGTAATTTTCCAGTTATAGCTACAAAGTTTCATAATTAAAAATTCAGAGTGCTAATCAGTGAATCACTCAAAGATTTTTCCTTTCTTTGAATCCCCAGATAATTTTCAACAAATTTATTCCTGACTTTTCAACTCATAAAGAACAAAACTGTGATGTACGTGTGTGTGTGTGTGTGTATGAGAGTGTTGGTCTTTTTTATTTTGATATTTATTAAATAGTCTCTATTTTATAACAAGGAGCTCTCTCAACTTATCCAGACAGTAACTCCTTTATAACTGAAATCAACTTTAACTATTAAAATTATATACAAGGAAATTAGGAGTGTTGCAGTACTTGGTTGCAAATAACTTGCCATCTGGTGTTGGGTCAGAAAATGCTATTTCATCAGTGCTGAGAAAACAGCCAAACATGAAGCAATTCCTAAAAGAGAAGAAAAGATGATTTAATAATGGAAGCAACTTAACATTCTAATTAACATGAGCACAACTTAAGTAAATATTCTTGACTTAAATCAACTTTATTTTTAGTAAGTGAAAAAATGCCTTATATTTTAGAGAAAGAAGTCTAATGATACCATTTCAGATGAGAAAGCTAAGGTCCAGAAAAAATTCTGCTGAGGGGCAAAGGGAACCATCCACCTAACTCTAGCATATCCACAGTAAAGAGCAACTAATATAAGATCATACTGCTAGGCCAGGTGCAGTGGCTCATGCCTGTAATCCCAGCACTTTGGGAGGCTGAGGCGGGCGGATCATGAGGTCAGGAGATTGAGACTATCCTGGCTAACACAGTGAAACCCTGTCTCTACTAAAAATACAAAAATTAGCCGGGCGTGGTGGCGCATGCCTGTAGTCCCAGCTACTTGGGAAGCTGAGGCAGGAGAATCACTTGAACCCGGGAGGCGGAAGTTGCAGTGAGCCCAGATTGCGCCACTGCACTACAGCCTGGTTAACAGAGTGAGACTCCAACTCAACCAAAAAACAACGCATCATATTGCTAATTAAAAGCAACAGATAATTAGAACAAACAAAAAAAATCACCAATTTTAAGCAGTAACCATATATACACACATACACACACACACACACACACATATATATATATTTTTTTTTTTTGAGACAGAGTCTTACTCTGTCACCCAGGCTGTAGTGCAGTGGTGCGATCTTGGCTCACTACAACCTCCGCCTCCCAGGTTCAAGTGATTCTCCTGCCTTAGCCTCCCAAGTAGCTGGGATTACAGGCATGTGTCACCATACTTGGCTAATTTTTTTTTTTTTTTTTTTTGTAGAGGTGGGGTTTTCTCCATGTTAGCCAGGATGGTCTTGAACTTCCAACCTCAGGTAATCCGCCCTCCTTGGCCTCCCAAAGTGCAGGGATTACAGGCATTAGACACCGCCCAGCCTACATACTTTTTTCAACGAAGACATCCACTGAGAGCTTTAAGAAGGGAAAAACTAATCTGCATTTTGACTACAACTCTCCTTGATCTTGCTTACCTTAGGATTAAAAGTAATAAGGGAATGGTTAAAAGAATTCAACATCTCCCACAACTTGTTTGTGAAAGAAAAAAACAGAATTAATCAAAATTGAGGGATATTCTATAAAATAACTGGCTTGTACTCTTCAAATTCTTCAATGTCAAAAGACTGAGAAACTGTTACAGATTAGAGAAGATGAAGATTAAAGAGACGTGAAAACTAAATGCAGTATGTGGTACTAGGCAGAAAAAAAAAAAAAAAAAAAAAGCCATGAAGGACATTTGAGACAACAGACAAAAGTGAAATATGGACTGTCAGATAAAAGCATTATATCCAATATTAAATTTCCCAAATTTGATCATTGTATCATGGTTATATAAGAGAATATTCTTGTTCTTAAGAAAAACACACCAATGCATGAAGGGGTAAAGGAGCGTAATATATATAACAAAATAATTCAGGAAGTTTATCTAAACATAGAATGGTAAAGCAAATGAGGTAAACGTTGAACTTACTAGATCTTGACAAAGGGCTTCTTACTACTCTTGCTGCTCTTTTGTAAGTTTGAAATTATTTCAGAATAAAAAATTAGAATTTGATTCAATTAGAAGACATAAGCTTCTAATATATTAAATACTATAAATAAATACATAATATGGTAGAACTAGGTTAGATACTGGTATTCCTCATACCAAATTTATATATCTAATACAAAACATAGAAAAGTATTTCATAACTAATCAAAAATCTTTAAGATATCAATTTTTCCTACTGATCCCTTTTGTAAGTATGTACAACTGACTAGGATTTATGGCCCAAGATTGGGTCCCCATAATGGTGTTGGTATTTATTTTTTTAAAGTGGCATAGAATGCAAGAGGCTTGAATAACAGTATTCCAAAGTGTGGTCTTTGGTTTGGTTAAAGTGTGCTTATTGGTTTGTAACCTATTATCTAGACAATGAAATATGTGTAGAAATTGAGAGAGTAAGTGTTGTGAAATTCATCCATATAACCTAGATTAGGTAAATTAGCAAACAAGTTTGTGATATTGGAAACTTTAAACAGCAATACATAGTGTTAGTTCAAAGTGTGTACATGGGAATTAAAAATGGAGACTAATTTTTTGGGTTGAGATATATATACTCATATACTGTAAGACTCACCCTTTAAAAATTGTACAACTGAGTGGTTTTGTGTATATTAACAAATATTGTCCAATCACCACCACTATCTAATTCTAGAACATTTTTATTATCCCAAACCCAGCACTCATTAGTTGCTCTCCATCTTTCCTCAGTCCCTGGAAACTACACATCTACTTTCTGCCTCTGGATCTGCCTGCCTCTTATGGACATTTTATATAAATGTAATCACACAATGTGTCATCTTCTGCAACTGACTTATTTCAACTAGCATAATGTTTTCAAGGTTCCTCCACGTTGCAGCGTGTGACAGAATTTCCTTTATGGCTGAATAACATCCCATTGTTATTATTGTATCAATATACCATATTTATCCATTAATCACAGATTGGATTATACTTTTTTGGCTTTTATAAATAATCCTGCTATGAACCTTCATGTACAAGGTTTTGTGTGGACATGTTTTCTTTTCTTGAATATATAACCTAGGAGTCAAACTGCTAGGTCACATAACAGTTTAACTCTGAGAAACCATCAGATTGTATTCCACACCAACTGTACCAGTTTACATTCCTACAAGCAATGTACAAGAGTTTCAGTTTCCTCTACATCCTCATGGACACTTGTCTGTTTTTTGAGTACAGTCATCCTACTGGGTATAAAGTGGGATCTCACTATGGTTTTGTGATTTCCCTGATAAAGATGTTGAGCATCTTGTTATGTTGAATTAACTATTTGCAATTCATCTTTGAAGAAATGTCTACTGAAATTCTTTGTCTATTTTTAAATTGCGTTGTCTTTTTATTGTGTTCTAAGAATTTTATGGGTATTAGACCCTCCTTAGACAAATGATTTGCAACTATTTTCTCTCGTTCTACGGACTGTCTCACAAATCCACTTTATAAGTTATGCTTATGAGTTATAGCAAGTCTTCATTATCTAGTCACTATCAATGAACACGTACAGCTTCTGTAATTTTTCAAACCTTTACTTTGTATAGATTTATTGAAGCATAATTTCACGTCTGCTAAGTCTAATAACAATTTGAGATTGTGTTTCTGTTTTGTTTTTCTATTTTTTTCTAGCAATCCATTTTTATTTTATTAGTGTTGATCTGTGACAAATTAAACTAGTCCTTTAGCACAGGTAGTTTGAAAAGCAGTGGGCTAGTATGTTTCAGACCTGGAATGTTGTGCCCTAGACTGAGTACATCTAGTATGGTTTTTCTAGTGCCAATACCTTCCTTAGTCTGACTTTGATAGTATTTATACAGAAGTGTCTTACCAACATCCTTCTCTTTAGCTCAGAAGCTGAGAGGTACTGGGAAAGCTATGAACCTAGGGTTCTGGATCTAGATCCATTTTATTTCTTACCTGAGGGTATCAACCAGTCGTCTTGCAATGCGCTTTCTTCTCTTCAGTCTGAAAACCCAGATTCTACTTATCCCACAGACTGCAGGTTCTGGTACATTTGAACATTGCCAAGCCCTAGAACATTCTGTAGAGGTTGGGGATCCCGGACCAGCTGGTTCAGACAGGACACGAAAGGCCTGCAATGATATACACAAGCATCTACAGCTAACAACACAGATGAGTTCACACTGCTTTTAAAAAGTATTCCTTAAATAAAACAAGTATCAAAAATTTAACTTATATCTCCACCAAGTATGTTAAAAATATTTTCTATTTCTTAAATTCTTATCCATTTAGTCGCACAATGCTTTAAAAAGAACTAGTGGTGTTGAGACATTCACACATTCTGGTGCGTCCCATAGCATTATGAAACTTTCCTCTTTAATTAAAGCAATTGTAGACATTAGACTCTTCCTTTCAATAAACTATATCAACCTCTAGCATTCTCTCCATCCTAAAATGTATATATGACCACCTAAAGAAACCAGTAACACTAAAGATTTGTATCTATTAACTATGAAATTTGGTTGGCATTTCAAGTTTCTTAAAAAACATTTTTATTTTGAAATAGATTCATGAGAAGTTGAAAAAACCACTACAGAGGACCATGTGTCCTTTCCTGAGTTTTCCCCAATGATTACATCTTCCATAACTGGTATAATACCAAAACCATGAAATTACCATTGGTAAAATGTGTGTGTATAGTTTCAGGACACTTAATCATACCTGTATATTCATTTAAATACCATCACAATCAAATACAGAACTATTGAGTCACCACAAAGATCTTCTTGCTCATTATAGTCACATCCACACTACCCCATCTCTCAACCTCAATCCCTGACAACCACCAATTTATTCTCCATGGCTATAATGAGAATGTTATATATTATATAAATGAAATCACACACCATATGACCTTTTGAGATTGGCTTTTTTCCACTCAGCATAATGCCCCTGAGACTCATCCAAGTTGTTAAGTGTATCAATTCTTTGTTCCTTTTTATCACTAAGTAGTATTCCATCATATGGATGTATCATAGCTTATCATTCACTTAAAGCATTTAAGGACACTTTGGTTGTTACCAGGTTTTGGCTATTACAAATAAAGCCACTATTAACATTCTTGCACAGGTTTTTGTGTGTACATCAGTTTTCCTTTGTTTTGGCTGGATCATATGGTAAATACATGTTTAGTTTTTTTTAAATTATTATTATTTTTTAAAGAGACGGAGTCTCACTCTGTCATCCAGGATGGAGTGCAGTGGCACAATCTTGCTCACTGCAACCCCCACCTCCTGGGTTCAAGTGATTCTCCTGCCTCAGCCTCCCGAATAGCTGGGATTACAGGCATGCACCACCACGCCCAGTTAATTTTTGTATTTTTAGTAGAGGCGGGGTTTCGCCATGTTGGTCAGGCTGATCTCGAACTCCTGACCTCAGGTGATCCGCCTGCCTCAGCCTAAGTGCTAGGATTACAGGTGTGAGCCACTGCGCCCAGCCTGTTTAGTTTTTAAAGAAACTTTAAAACTTTTTCCAGAGTGGCTGTAATATTTTACATTCCTACCGACAATGTGTGAGAGATCTAGTTTCTCCATATCCTCACTAGCATTTGGTATTGTCTCAATTTTTTACGTACTGTTATCTCTTCTGACAGGTGTGTATTTAGTTTTTAATTACCAAAAACAAAACATTGTTTCTGACCTGAGAGTAGAAGAGAATAGTTGGCTACATCTTGCCTATTATCAGGACACAACAGTCCACTTCTTTGAGATCAAAGAAGGAAAAGGCGTTTTAAATAAATACACAACATAAAAAGATGTAAACTGTAAAATTAGTAATGTTGAAGGGAGAAAAAGTACAGAGCTTTTGTAGGTGATATAAATTGTTATCAGCTTAAAATAGACGGCTATATTAAAGGATATTTTATGTAAGCCTCATGACTAAAAAGCAAAAACCTATAGTAGATACATAAAAGATAAAGAAATCAAAGCATACCACTACAGAAAATCATCAAATCCCAAGGAAGACAGCAAGAGAAGAAAGGAATATATGTAAAACAACCAGAAAACAAAACAAAATGGCAATAGTAAACCCTTATTTATCAATAATTACTTTAAATGTAAATAGAATACATTTGCCAATCAAAAGACACAGAGTGGCTAAATGGATAAAAACACAAGACTCAGCTAAATATCACCTACAAAAGACTCACACAGACTGCAAGTGAAGGGTCAGAAAAACACACTCCGTGCAAATGGAAACCTAAAGACAACAGGAAGTACCTACACTTACATCATAAAAAACAGATTTTAAGTCAAAAACCATTAAAAGAGACAAAGAAGGTAATTATATAATAAAAAGGTCAATTCATTAAAACAGTTGTAAATATATATGCACCTAACATTGGAGCACCTAAATATATATTTAGGATTCTGAAAGGAGAAATAGATAGGAATACAAAATTAAGAGGACTTCAAGATCCCACTTTCAACAATGGATACATCATCTAGACAGAAAATAAATAAGGAAATGCTGAACTTTTTTTTTCTTTCTTAAGAGATAGGGTCTCACTATTGCCCTGACTGGAGTGCACTGGTGCGATCACAGCACACTGCAGCCTTGAACGCCTGGGCTCAGGTGATCTTCCTGCCTCAGCCTCCCAAGTACCTGTGACTATAAGCATGCACTACCATGCCTGGCAAATTTTTGTAAAGACAGGGTCTCACTATGTTGCCCAGACTGTTCTTGAACTCCTAGCCTCAAGCTATCCTCCTGCCTCAGCCTCCCAAAGTGTTGAGATTATAGCTGTAAGCCACGGAGTTCAGCCAGTAAACACTGAACTACACTTCAGACCTAATGGACCTAACAGAAACACATATAGTATTCCATCCAATAGCAGCAGAATGAATGCACATTCTTTTCAAGTGCACACAGAACATTCACACAGTTTAAAATTATAGATCAATGACAGGAGGAAAAGTGGAAAACTGACAAATATGTGAAAATTAAACCACACGCTCCTGAACAACCAACAGATCAAAGAAATTAAAAGGGAAATTGACAAATTTCTTGAGACAAACGAAAATGGAAACACAGCATACCAAAACCTATGGAACGCAGCAAAAGCAGTTCTACATAAAAAAGAAGAAAGATCTCAAGTAAACTAACATTACACCTCAAAGAATTAGAAAAAGAATAAAGCCCAAAGTTAGTAGAAGGAAGCAAATAAAGATAGTAGAGATAAATTAAACGGGGACTCGAAAAATAGAAAAGATCAATGAAATGAATAATTGGTTTTTTAAAAGATAATAAAATTGACAAACCTTTAGCTAGACTAAGAAAAAAGAAGACTCAACTAAACAGAATCACAAACAAAAAGAGGAGATATTACAACTGATTATCACAGAAGTACAAAGGATCGTAAGAGACTATGAATAATTATATACCAACAAATCAGGTAACCTATAAGAAACAAATTCCGAGAGGCAATAAACCTACCTACACCAAATCATGAAGAAACAGAATATCTAAACCAATAGAAAGGAGATTCAATTAGTTAAAAAAAAAAACAACTTGCATCATAAGAAGGCCCATCCGTAATGACATCACTGCTAAATTCTACCAGACATTTAAAGAATACTAATCCTCAAACTCTTCCAAAAAACTGAAGAAGAAGAATACCCCCAAAGTCATCTTACAAGGCCAGAATTAACCTGATACCAAAGCCAGAAAAGGACACTACAAGAAAAGTTACCGGCCAATATTCCTGATAAACAGATGCAAACTAGCACATTAAAAGAATAGTACACCATGATCCAGTGGACTTTATCCCTGGATGCAAGGATGGCTCAATACATGCACATCAATGTGTTACACCATATTAACAGAATGAAGAACAAAACTATATGATCATCTCAATACAGAAAAGGCATCTGACATCCTTTCATGATAAGAACTCTCAACAAATTAGACACAGAAGGAATGTACCTCAATATACTAAAGGCCATATATCACAAGCCCACAACTAACATCATACTCAGCAATGAAAAATTGAAAGCTTTTCCTCTTAGATCAGGAATAAGACAAGGATGCTGACTCTCATCATTTCTATTCTACATAGTTCTAGAATTCCTTGCCAGAGCAATTAGGAAGAAAAAAGAAAGGCATTCAAATTTAAAGGAAGAAGTTAAATCATCTGTTTGCAAATGATATGAACTTATGCACAGAAAACCCTAAAGACTCCACCAAAAAAACTATTAAATTCAGAAAAGGTGCAGGATACAGAATCAACATTCAAAAGTCAGTACCTTTTCTATATAGGAACAATGAACTACAAACTATCTAAAAAAGAAATCAAGAAGACAATCCATTTACAATAGCATTAAAAAAACCCACTTATGAATAAATTTAACCGAGGAGGTGAAAGATCCATACACTGAAGACCAGAAAACACTGATGAAAGAAGCTGAAGAATATCCACATAAATGGAAGGATACCCAGTGTTCGTGGCTTGGAAGAATTAACATTGTTAAAATGTCCATACTACCCAAAGCAATCTACAAATACAATGCAATCCCTATCAAAATTCCAATGGCATTTGCCACAAAATTATAAAAAAGTCCTAAAATCCTATGGAACCATAAGCGATTCCAAACGGCCAAAGCAATCTAGACCAAAGAGTAAAGCTGAGGGGCATTGCACTCCTACTGGCATTAAAACAAAATATAGCAACTAAAGGAACAAAACAGATAAAATAAATCCAGGCATTTAGAGTCAACTGGTATCTGACAAACACATCAAGAACAAACAATGGGGCAAGGACACAGTCTCTTCAATAAATGATGTTGGGAAAAATGAATATGCACAAAATAAGAATAAAATTGGAGCCTTATCTCAAACCACATACAAAAATCAACTCAAAATGGATTAAAGGCTTAAAATGACGGACCTGAAGCTGTAAAACTATAAGAAAAAAAATGAGAAAAAAGCTTGACATAGGTCTGGGAAATAATTTTCTGGCTATGACCCCCAAAGTGTGGGCAATAAAAGAAAGAAATGTAAAATCAAACTGAAGTTTCTGCACAGCAGAGTGGATAAACACAAACCAACCAACCTACTGATTGGAAAAAAAATTTGCATATACAATACTGGATAATATCCAAACTATATAAATAACTCTATAGCAAGAAAACAAATACTCGGATTAAAAAATGGGCAAAGAACCAGAATAGATATTTCTCAAAAGACATACAAATCAGGAACAGGCATATGAAAAATGCTCATTCAACATTACTATTCATGAAGGAAATGCAAATTAAAACAAGATCACCTCACACTTGTCAGGACGATTACTATAAAAATACAACCACCATATGCAGCAATCCCACTTCTGAGTGTATATCCAAAGGAACTGAAATCAGTATGTTGAAGAGAAATCTGTACTCTCATGTTCAAGGTAGCATTATTTATAGCCAAGATATGTAATCAATTAAGTGTCCATCAATGGATGAATGAATAAAGAAAATGTGGTACATATACAAATGGAATACTATTCAGCCTTTAAAAAGGAAATCCTGACATTTGCAACAACGTGAATGAACCTGGAGGACATTATGTTAAGTGAAATCAGCCAAGCAAAAAAGAAAAATAGTGCAACATCTCACACAGGTAATCTAAAGAAGTTGACTTCATAGAAGCAGAGTAGAATGGTGGTTGCCAGAGGCTGGGCGAGTGAGAGATAGGAGAAAAGGGGAAACGTTGGTAAAGGGTACAAAGTTTAAGTTAGGATAAATTCTGCAGATCTATTGTACAGCATGACTATAGCTAATATATACTTGAAAACTGCTAGAAGCCGGGCACGGTGGCTCATGCCTGTAATCCCAGCAATTTGGGAGGCCGAGGCGGGCAGATCACGAGGTCAGGAGTTCAAGATCAGCCTGGACAACATAGGAAACCCCGTTTCTACTAAAAATACAAAATTAGCCAGGCATGGTGGCACGCAGCTGTAGTCCCAGCTACTTGGGAGGCCGAGGCAGAATAGCCTGAACCTAGGAGGCAGAGGTTGTGGTGAGCCGAGATCGCACCACTGCACTCCAGCCTGGGCAACAGAGCAAGACTCCGTCTCAAAAAAAGAAAGAAAAAGAAGAAAATGAAAATTGCAAGGGGAGTAGATCTAAATGTTTTCATCACAGTAAGTTGATAAGTATGTGAGGTGAAAGATATATTAGCTTGGTTTAGTCATTTTACAATGTATACCTATATCAAAATATCACATTGTACACTATAAATATTTGCAATTTTTATTTGTGAGTTATACCTTAATAAAGCTGAGGGAGAAGGGAAAGGCCAAACTGATCACTTATACTGGCAAAAATAGAAACAAGCTGCTTTTCTCTCCAACTTCTAATAACACAAGGAGAAACTATGTCTTCTAGAACATTGCTAATTAGTACCCAAATTAGATTCTAATTAAGGGATAATGACTACTTTGCCAAAAATATTAACCTTCACTAAGCCACATGTTTAAAAACTTCGGTTTATAGATCTGCTTACTTAAAATCAATATACTTTATAGTCCAGCTGTGGAAATGATTACATGAACATAAGACTGGCTTACCTATCCTGTTTACATAAAGCAAAATTCCAAATATTAATGGAAATAAATAACCTCAATTATCCACAAGGTAAAGGATATTCCAGCAGAATGTCATTAATGGTAGCAATCTTAAATGCTGAGACTTCTCCCAACTTTTCTCTTTATTTTGCCCACAAATTATGCCAATAATTTAAAATAAATATACCATACCTGTTTGATGGGTTCTGCAATTAAACACCCAACTACTCTCTTTTCATCAGATATAAAAAGAAAAGTTTTTATTTTGTTTGGACATTTAGGAACAACTTGCTGGAAGCCCAATTCATTATCAACAAGTTCTTGGACATCTTCTACCTAATGATTTTAAAAACCAAGACAGGTGAATGTTTTAAAAAGTACAATAGAAACTATACATATTTATATACACAAAATGTATGATTACTGTTACTTTAGTGTCTTTAATTTCTATTTCTTAAATTGATACACCTCCAAAATTATTTCACTATTGATGCATGTAGCTGCTACTGTGGAAACAAGGTTTTAAGAACCTATTTTAAAGATCACTTTCAGCAGAAATTCAGACACCTGGGAGGGATAAGGAATAGAAAGCATTAAAACAGATTTGTTGTAGCTTTATTCATTGTTCACGGTGGCTAGACATCCAACCTCAGAAACACAGGCAACACCAATATAAGAAATAGACTCTGGGGGCCAGTAATTTCTCAAACTGAAAGCTTAGTTTATCTTTCACAAGGGAAAGATGAACATAAAAGATAAGCTGTGGAGCCTTATCTGCCTTCTTTACTCCTTTGTCCTACAATTCTAAGTTTAGTTTTGTATAAATTGCTACGAAAGTAATCATTAAGCAGGTACCCAAGTGAATTATGTCAGCAAAGGCAGTGTGCACTTCAACATAGGTTGATTTCTTGGGGGTGGGGAAATGCAAGAGTTAAAAACATAATGTTCCATACCTTTTTGATAGCAAAGCTTGGATCATGTGGCAGAACCAACACGATTTTCCCATCCCAAAACTCTGCTACTACACGTTCTTTCTTCCAACCCTGCCAAAGGAAAAAAGGGTCACAGTTTAATTTGTGAAGAGAAAAAAACCAACATTAAATAATTTGATGTGCAGAAGACAAAAGGCTAAACAGTAACAGATATTTTAAAAAGATGAAATCCAACTAAAAGTAATGTGGGAAGAGAAATAAAAGATGCCTAAAACAGGTACCTGGCTTCAACAAGCTTATATCCTATCTGGTGACATGTATATGATTATAAAGCAAAGTAAAGAGGTAACGGTGCGGTGGCTCACACCTGTAATCCTAGCGCTTTGGGAGGGCTGAGGCAGGTGGATCACTTGAGGTCAGAAGTTTGAGACTAGTGGGCAGGTAGGGGAGGGGTAGAAGAATAAGCCAAATTCTAAGAAAAGGCTAAATAAAAGTCCTTATATGTTTGTCCCTTATGTTTAACAAGACCATGGAAGGGCGCAGTTTTACAACTATTTTAATCTCAATCCCCAGCATAGTTGCTTTGGCATGTGGCCCTAGTGTTTGAATGATACTGAAGTATTATGGTACTTGAAAAGGGTTTAAAAACCTTGGTAAGATGTCAATGAGCATAATGGGGAAGGTGGTTAACTTGCCTTCAGGCTAAGGCAACTAACTGAATAAGCAAAGGTGTAGAGAATGGTAAAAAAAAATGTGTAACTGGAAAAAATGAGGTTGAAATATTAGAAATAAATTTAATAAGATCCATATTGACAAAACTATAAAATGTTCCTGAAAAACATCAAAGATATGAATCAATCAGAGGTATACTAAGTTTCTAAGTATACACTAGGTTTATATTACAGTATATACTAAGTTTATATTATAGTATGTACTATACTAAGTTTCTAAGTTATACTAAGATTTTTTTTTCCCTAGAAATAAATGGCATTAGTTTGACTACTTTCAATAAAAATTAGAATAGGTTTTTTATTTGGGGGGAACATGATAGGCTCCTTTAATTTGAAAGAGTAAATGTGCAGAAAAAGTCAAGACATTTTTTACAGAGAAGGATGAAAGGGAACTTACCTAACTATACATCCAAATACAGTATGGAGCTACGTTTGTAAAAGTATGGCACTGGCACAGGAAATAATGGATGGTGCAGAAGTGTCCAATAACAAGCCCATTTATATATCGGAATTTGGTATGCATTAAAGGTGGCACTGCTAATCAGTGTGGAAGATAAACCAGTCAAACAGTAATGTTGGCACACTTTGCAGTCCTTTAGGAAAAATACAAAGATCAGATCCATCTCTGACACTATGTCTTGAAAAACTTCCAGTGGATTAAAGGTCTAAATATAAAATTTATAGCTATACATTTTTTTTTTTAAATGTAGGAAAAACTTCTTACTAATTTTGGGACTGAGATGATGTTCCTGACTTAAGAAACCAAAGGTCACAAATTAGCTAAATAAAAATTTTGTTTTCTTTGTAGCAAGATACACCATAAAAAGGTTAAAGAAAATCCAAGTATTGGTATTTGCTTATATATGCAGAAAGTATCTCTGAAAGATATATAGATGAACCTGTGAATGCTGGATGCCTATAGATAGGGGAACAAGGTTTCTGGAAGGGGTATGGAGAAACACTTCACTGGATACACTTTTGCATTCTGTGAATTTTGAATCATGTGAAAGTATTACTATATCAAAAATATAAATTCAAACCTTAAAAAAAGGGACAGGGAGAATGTATTTGTAACACAGGAATAACATACAAAATATATAAAGGATAACATGTCCAGTATGTTTCCACAAATTAAAGAAAGAAATCCAATATAATATAGTCTGGCTTCATCAGAGAATGTGGCTTATTCCAGCGGCAGGAGCTTAGAGCTGGAGAGGGAATGTGTCATGCGACAAGGTGAGCAGGGGCCAGATATGAAGAGATCTGCTGGCCAAGGTAAGGAGTCTCGGTTTTATTTCTAGTGCAACAGAAAACTGTCAAGTATGAAGCAGACAATGTCAGAACCTATGTTTTAGAACTTTCTGGCTGATGTAGAGATATCAAAGAGGGCAAGAATTTAAATTATACACATATACACTTTCTCTTTTGTATATATTTTATATGCACATATATAGAAAAGGTTGAGGCCAGATTAAAGAGCACCAAACTGCTGGTGGGAACTTTTTCTTTCTAGAAGTATGAAGAATCATACTAGACTTATGTTTTATTTGTGGTTTTTTTTTTTTTTTTTTTTTTTTTGAGATGGAGTTTCGTTCTTGTCACCCAGGCTAGAGTGCAATGGCGCAATCTCGGCTCACTGCAACCTCCGCCTCCTGGGTTCAAGCGATTCTCCTGCCTCAGTCTCCTGAGTAGCTGGGATTACAGGTGGCTGCCACCAAGTCTGGCTAATTTTTTGTATTTTTAGTAGAGATGGGGTTTCGCCATGTTGGGCAGGCTGGTCTCAAACTCCTGACCTCAGGTGATCCACCCACCTCGGACTCCCAAAATGCTGGGATTACAGGCGTGAGTCACTGCACCCAGCCTAGACTTATGTTTTAAAACATTATTTCTGGTAGCACTATGGGAACCCAGAAAGCAAGCTGTTTCAATAAACAGGCTAAAAACATTGTGAAGGTATTAACTATGGCAATAAAAATAGGGGAAAAGGAATGAGTAGCAGGTACAATCATAAAGATAGGGCCAATGATGGGATGTGTTGGGACTTAAAAGGTGTTTAATGAATGGGTGGGACCTCACCTCTCAGAAAAAACCTGGAGAAGTCATGGAAAGGCTATTTTTTCTAAGGCTATCCATAAAGACAACACTATAGTGGGAAGAGGGTATCTCTTCAGATCTTTGAATTTTGTATATCTTGACTGTTCAGCTCTGCTCAGAATGCAGTGTTTACAAAATATTTATCTTATATTGAGAAGGTAAGCTTGAAACATCATCATTAAAAGTTAACTTTTCAGGCTGGATGGTGGAAAAGAAATGTCTCTTTTAAAGCAGTTTTACTTCTAGAGCAAACTGAAAGACTATCTTTCGGCTCACCACATATTTGATTCCTTCCAGAAACCTGTGGTGATGCTGTACATGCTGCATTTCATCTTCAGGGTTGGAAGCAGTATATATCATACCACAAGACTTGCACACAGTAGCCCCAAAATGTTTCTGACCAGCGTCCTATAATTGGGGGGTATAAAAAGAAGCCCATTTAAATATAGCACAAATAGCTCTAAATTAAGTTCCTATAACTATTCATTCAAATTTCACCTAATTTTTTTTTTTTCTGCTGACACAAGAGAAAAACGAAATGAAAGTCTGGTTACTATATCCTCCTTCCCTCCCCCAAAACAAAATGAAATGAGATCAGCCGGGCACAGTGGCTCATGCCTATAATCCCGGCACTTTGGGAGGCTGAGGTGGGTGGATCACTCAAGCCAAGGAGTTAGTGACCAGCCTGGGCAACATGGTGAGACTCCATCTCTTTGGCCGGGGCGGCGGGGGAGAAGAGACCTAAAAATGCAATAAATTGATGGAACGGAATTGTTTATTTGAATGGACAGTGTAAAAACCAAAGATTCTTTTATTTTTACAAGATTCTTTACTAGACCCATGGTTCTAAGAAGCAATAAGACTAAACTGTGGAAATTATAGCTAAAACGAACAACAGAACTTTTTAATGAAAGTCTTAAATACCTGAAAAAGCCTTATTTCAAAGAGAAGAGCAAAAATTTTAGGACTTCTATATTAATTATACAATATTTTTCCTTAAGTGGCTAAGAATATTAAATTATTCTTAAAGAATATTAAAATTATTTGACTCAAGAATTGACAAAAAATAAAGTGCAGGAAAAGCACAGATAAATTCAAGAATATTCAGTGTCACCACCTATAACTCCCATTCTGTCACATAAAACATTGCTTAATGCCATTGAAAATACCAAGCTCTGAACTGTCTAATACAGGGGTTTTTCTGTAAAGGGCTAGATAGGAGAAGCTTTGTTTTGAATTTACTCACAATGATGAGCTGGTCTTTTGTTTTTTTACTTGTATCTCTGGTATTAGTATTTTTCTGGATATTGGTCTGTTTCAAGAAGTTGATAGATCCCACAGAAAGCTGCTCTTCACCTAAAGATCTTGACACAGAAAGTTGATAAATATCATATAAATTTGATAAATATCACAATTTGATATTTATTATAAGTTGATAAATATATAAATTTATAATTTTTGAGGAATTAAAGGGAAAGAAAGCAGACATTTAACAGAGTACCTTGCAATTTTTAGTGCTTTCTGACATTAACTTGATGAGATAATAGGGACAGGAATAATGAGAAATCTGAGGCCCACTCAGAGAGGGTCAGTAATTTACTCAAGGTAAAGTAACTAGTAAATGGCAGCATTAACACTCAAATCCTGGTCCTCTGACTCCAAGTCCCAGGGACTTCCTTCTACAATATCTGATGCACATAGATGCACACTTTGGAAACTGACTTCACCCTTTAAAAAAAGATTTTTTTGCTTTATCAAATCTTAGGATAATATTTACCTATACAGTTATAAAGAAATTCCTGGGGTACTGGAGGAAATAAGTATAATACTGAACTTCACAGATCCACAGGAAATCAGAGTCACCATCATATTATGACCCAGCAATGTTTTACCTGGGCAATGAAGCTACTAAATTTGCTTTTCCTTATACCAAAAGCAGCATCTCACTACTCTGAAATTCTTAAGGAAAAAAAAAATTTAGGCTGGACAGATGTAGTTGAGACAACCTTTACCTATTAGGAAAGAATGCTGAGATTGACTTACAGAGGTTGCAAACTGGAGCCCCTCAGGCCAAATCTAGCTAGCAGACATGTTTTGGTTGACCCATATGTTATTTAAAACTTTGGATTAGCCTCCAATATTTTAAAATTTAGAGATTTCACTTAAAAATGTGTATTTCCAATATTAAAAGAGACTTTAAGATCACTAAACCTCTATTCCATCAAAGAATCTACAAGTTCGAACTTGGAATAGCACATGCCCTTTTAAGTGGGCAATTCTTCAGCTGGCCCTAGTCTCCACCCAGCCTGCTGGTTCTGTAGATACTGAGTTTGTAACCCTTGCCTTGTAATGAAAGGAGTAGAAATCCCTAAAGAGTAGAAGTAAATAAGTAAAAAAAAAAAAAACCTGACAAAGTAGAAAAAAAAAAGTGGAGCATTAGCTCTATTGCATTAAGCTAAGTCAAGCTGTCTTCTTACCATTTGTCTGAAAAGTAGTTTTCAAATTGACTTATCTATGCTAAGAAATACATTTCACATGACTAGTACAGACATAAAACCAAAGTTTCACTAAATATACTTGCTGTGTGAGAGATACACTATTCCACTAAAAATAAATGCTATTGTTGGAGGCCAAAAGAATGAGGGTTGTGACCAATTCAGTATACCACTGGAGGCCATATGAGCAAACAGCAAACTGTTCTCATGAATGCAGGTTGCTGGCAAACTGACCAACTGCGTCTGCCACCCAGAAGGAATGCTGAGGGCAGTCATGCCCAGGCAAAGTGTTTCTTGCCATTATCTACAGGCACATTTGAAGCTTGTTAACAATCAAGTGAACCTGTGATAAATCATGCAGCTGACCTTTACCTCCTCCCCTCTGCTGTTTCTACCCAATAAATACGAAAGGCTGTAGAAGCTCAGGGCCCTTGCTCACTAGAAGCGAGAAGCTCCCAACCCCTTCTTTAAAAAGATCCTTTTGTCTTTGTCTTCATTTCTGTGTTTGTCCACCTTCGTTCAGTCCCATAGTAACTGTCACAAGACATGACACCCTAAACTGGTCTGATGAACTACTAATGGGCTGCTACCTACAGTATGAAAAAACACTTGTCCAAGTTACTGACCCTTTTCACCTTATGCAGCCTTTGCTAACTCAGCTCTCACTGACCCTGCACGCGTGATAGCCATCTCTTTGCTTCCATTTTAGCAACTGTAACATTATATACTTGTTTAAATGTCTACTCTCCTCTAACCATAACCTCGATAGCAAGACCACGTTAATTATCTTCACATCTCTAGAACTCGGTATAGCTCAATAGCATGTGATACTCTCTAAATGTTCATTGAATGAATTTTAAAAACCAAAAAACAAATGTGAGACTAAGCACTTTGAGAATCTGTAATCTATCTGAAGTAACAGATTAAATCTCAAATTGCTGATAACTGACATTTTGGAGTCTACAAAGAGAGCAATATCATATTATTTAACAAATAGTATCCCACTTTTTTTTTTTTTTTTTTTTTTTGAGACAGAGTCTTGCTCTGTCGCCCAAGCTGGAGTGCAGAGGTGCCATCTTGGCTTACTGCAACCTCCGCCTCCTGGGTTCAAGCTAGTCTCCTGTCTCAGCTTCCTGAGTAGCTGGGATTATAGGCATGCCCCATCATGCCCAGCTAATTTCTGTATTTTTAGTAAAGATGGGGTTTCACCATGTTGGCCTAGTCTCAAACTCCTGATCTCAGGTGATCCACCCACCTCAGCCTCCCAAAGTGTTGGGATTACAGGCGTGAGCCACAGAGCCTGGCCTGTCTCATTATACTAGACTAAATTAGTATACACTTCTATCAGTTAATTGTGGTAGGCTTCTGCTATGGTTTGAGCATGTCCCCCAAAATTCATGTGTGAAAACTTAATCTCCAGTGCAACAGTTCTGGGAGGTGGGGCCTAATAAGAGGTGTTTAGCTCATGATAGCTCCACCTTCATGAATGAATTCATGTTGATTATTGAAGGACGTGAGGCTGCAAGCCAAGCTCTCTTGTTCTCTCACGTACACTCTCTTGTTTTGCCTTCTGCCATGGGATCATGCAGCAAGAAGGCACCCACAGATGTGGCTGCTTGATCCTGGACTTCTCAGCCTCCAGAACTGTGAGCCAAATAAATTTCTGTCCATTATAAATTACCTAGTCCGTGGTATTCTGTGATAGCAACACAAAATGAACTAAGACAGCTCCCATCTTCAATAAAAGGTCATGAAAGATGACAACACAGGTGAAAAATGGGAAAGGTGAGAAAAACTAGAAACAAACCTTTGAAGAGGAAAAGCTGCCCACTCAACCTAGTCATTGAGGCAATTTAAGGTGAGGTGCTCTGAGAGTAACGAAAATGTAGCCGGGAAGTTCCTTAGTTAATATCTGGAGTTATTTATAATCAAATGGAGAGAGAAGGATCAAAGCTACTTAGGAAGAAGATGTTTAGACTATAAGAAACAACTTTTTCAGAGCTCTGCTGCCTATCATGCTGTCTACCCATCCGTGCCTCCCCCATTGCAGTCTTCAGTTTTGAATACGATATTGGTAGCTTCAGCTATACTTTATGATAACATTAAGCTGCTGCAAGTTACTTACTCCTCCAGCCAGCTTTCTCATCTACAAAATGGGGTAACAATGGTACCTACATCATGAAGTTGTAATTGCTTATTAAATTGTAGCTACTATACTATCATCCAGGGAAGGAAATATAAACTAATGGGCATTTGGTTCAGATATAGATTCTAGTCCTGGCCCTAGCACCTAATAGCTGTGCAACTGCGGCTAAATTACTAACAGTTTCTTAGGCTAAAAACAGAATAATAGTATCTACCTTCTAATTTGTTGTGAAAATTAAGATAATAGATACAAAAGCTACTTATTACAGGTAAGGTATTATATGTTAGCAATTACTCTTACTCAAGCATATAAAGATATTTTCCATCTCTCAACTCTTAAGTTCTTATGTTTCCATGAGGGACTGATTTCATCACCCTATTCTCAATATTATTCTCCTATTCCTCTTAGTGAGGAAGAAAAAAAACTCCCCAAATTAAGTAGCACGAGACTGAAAAAGAGACCCAGAGGACCTGTGTAATTTATAAGGCTTGAACTTTAAAACAGTAACAATTCTCACCTTTTTGAATTGACTGAAGATGCACTGAAGATTGGATAGACAGTGGACTTAGGAGAAACTGGTAGGGGAAAAATTGTGATAATGTGTATTATCAAATAAAATCAAAGCTTTAATTCATAAGATTTCAAAGGTTAATTAAGACAAAATACTACTCAAGATCGAGATTTAACAAAGAGGCAAAGGTAATCCCATGGAGGAAAAACAGTCCTCAACAAATGGTGCTGGACCAATTAAACGTCCACATGCAAAACAATTTACACCTATTCAAACCTTATGTAAACTTAACTCAAATGGATCACAGATCTAAATGTAAAACTATGATCAGGCATGGTGGCTCATGCCTGTAATCCCAAAACTTTAGGAGACCAAAAACGGGAAGATCGCCTAAGGCCAGGAGTTCAAGACAAGTCTGGGCAACTTAGTGAGACTGTTTCTACAAAAAAATTAATAATAAAGTAAAAACATAAAACTACAAAACTTCTAGAAAAAATATTAGGGAATAATCTTCATGAACTTGGATTGGGTAATTAGTTTTTACACACAACACCAAAAGCATAATACATTTATAAAAAATTAATTTAGACTTTATCAAATTTAAAAATTTTGCTCTACAAAAAATAAAGAGAATGAAAAGACAAGCCACAGATTGAGGGGAGAAAATATTTGCAATCATGTATCTGATCAAAAACTTGTATTCAGAATATATAAAGAATTCTTATGGTATGCCAACAGTTCAGTGATAAATGAGAATTACTACTGATACATCCAACAACATGGATGAACTTTAAATGTATTACTAAGTGAAATAAGCCAGACCCCAAAGGATGCATATGTGTAATGTTTTTCTTGGAAAAGGTAAAACTATAGAAATAAAAAGCAGATTAATGGTTGCCACGGGACTGCGGGGAAGGACAGTAACAACAAAACGTAGGCATAGGGAAATTTTAGGGTGAAGGAACTGTTTCTGTATGGTACTGCAATGGCTAATACATAATTCTATACATTTGATAAAACCCACAGAACTGTAAAAATCACAAAGAATGAACTTCAATGTACATCAAATGAGAAAAAAAAATGTATAAATATCAACCAGGCTATTGAGGTAGCCTAAGATGGAATGCATACTGTGAGAAATGAATCTAACTATATTAGAACTGTACAGCATAACGACACCGAAGGAGGTAGGGGGAAAAAGAGAAGCTGGCCTAAGCAACTTCAGCAAATGGTATTTTAACTAGAAGTTATAAGGATAAAGACAAAAAAACACTACTTAAAATTGCACTCTAGGCTGAGTGCAGTGGCTCACGCCTATAATCCTAGAAAATATGTATATTATTTAATATATATATTATTTAACTATATATGGAATTCTACAAAGAGAAAAAATTGAAAATATATCACATTTAGAAAAGAATGGCATGAGTTGATACAGGATTCCACAAAAGCTTACTTCGGCAATAATTACATATAGAAAAAGAGACTGAATTAGGTAAGATTCATCTCAACCTCAACATGAACAAGGAGATGAAAGGTAAGGGAGGCCGAGGCAGGTGGATCACCTGAAGTCAGGAGTTCGAGACGAGCCTGCCCAACATGGCGAAACACCATCTCTACTAAAAATACAAAAAAATTAGCCGGGCATGGTGGTAGACACCTGTAATGCCAGGTACTCAGGAGGCTGAGGTAGGAGAATCGCTAGAACCCTGGGGGCAGAGGTTGCAGTGAGCTGAGATTGCGCCATTGCACTACAGCCTGGGTGACAGAGTGAGACTCTGTCTCAAAGAGAAAAAAAAAAATTGCACTCTAATTGGTTAACATATTTCTCACAGGGGTATGAATTAACAATTATGAAACTGTTTTACATGTTTACTGGGACAGAACAAATAAGTAGGTGAATAGTGAATAGTAGGAACTAAGTTTCTCACTGTCTGAGAGGGAAGTTGCAGATGAAAAAAGGATAGAATAAATCCTGGAGTACTGGATTAGAGTTGGAGATATCAATGTCCAGTTGGCGATATGCAAACAAAAGAAATAAGACAGGAAATGTCACAGACAAGACTAAAGACACATTACAATTAAACATAATACAGTACCTTGGATTGGATACTGGGACAGAAAGAAAACATTAATAGAAGATTCCAAATAAAGTTTAGTTAACAGTAATATACTACTACCAATATTTGGTAAACTCCAAATAAAGCCTAGTGTTTATGGCTGGGCACAGTGGCTCACGCCTGTAATTCCAGCCCTCTGGGAAGCTGAGGCGGGTGGATTACTGGAGATCAGGAGTTTGAAACCAGCATGGCCAACATGGTGAAACCCCATGTTAACAAAAATTAGCCGGGCATGGTGGTGGATGCTCCATAATCCCAGCTACTTGGGAGGCTGAGGTGGGAGAAATGCTTGAACCCTGGAGGCAGAGGCTGCAGTGAGCCGAGATGGTGCCGCTGCACCAGCCTGAGCAATACAGCAAAACTCCATCTCAATAAAAAAAAAATAAAAAAAAAAATCTATACCAACACCAGTTTCTTAGTTTTGACAAAGGTATTATAACATAAGATGTTAAGAACTGAGGTAACAGCGTAGGAGATACACTGCTATTCTCTGTACTTTAACTTTTCTGTAAATCTAAAATTATGGCAAAATAAACAGTCTATTAGAAGAAAAGACCAAAGTTAAAACAGCGACTGATTTGAGGAAAATAGTAAGTTGAAAGTGGGCTAAAAAAACAAACTTTAACTTTGCACTGAAAAATAATTAGAGCTCATCCTCTAGAAATAAGGCCAAGGCAGGTGAGAGTCTGAGTTGCTATGGGTAAGTTACTTAACCCAAGTCCATTTCTTCATCTATAAACGGGCATATCAGGACCTACAGTAGTTGGGAGAATTAAATGATACACTGTAGTTATTAAGTAATAAAATTTTGGTCTTTTTATTTAACTTTCATGATTTCTGCCATATCCTTATACCATTGTATTATTTTTATTCACTATTTTAAATTGACTTAGACAATGTACTAAAATATATTTTAAAAGAAAAATTTATAACTATTGTAAGTAGATGGCATTGTTTTTCTGTTATATGTTCTATTGTATCAGTGCTTTGAGCACAATCTATGAAAAACATAACGTATACTAAATAATTAGCACTGCCTGATATATATTCAGCACTCAGAAAATACTAGTTATTAGCATCATATCTCAGAATCATAAAAAAAGCTTTATGTATTCATAATTTAGTAAGCTATTTAATTGAACACTGATAGCATAAATTAGGAATAGGATTTCAGAACTGACAGGAATTTAAAAATTAACTTTAACTCTTTAGAGATCTCTTCCTAGATCATACAGCTAATTAGCAGTAAACCTAGACAAAAATCTCATGGTTCCTGATGCTTAATTTCAGTGTCATTTATAAGACTTGGTAAGTTCTGCTCACAACTGGGCTTTGATCACAAATATACATAATAGTTTTAACTTACATTGTTTTGGGTGAAAGATAGAGTAGGTATGATTTTATAATGAGAACACTCAACTCTAGAGAGCTTAAGTAACTTGGCCACAGCCATAGACCAATTAAGCCTAACATTTTGTCTACAATTTTAACCTAGGATCTTCTTGTTTCTTGTTTTTCAAAACGCAATGCATTGCTTTACTACAGAAAACAGTGTCACAGAGATAAAAACAAAGATACTAACTACAGGCACACGACTGAAAAAAGAAAGACCCAAAAATTATTATAAGAATTATTATTATATAACATATGTAATAAAGCATTAAGTAGTTAAATTCATGCTAGTTTTCTCTTACTTGTCTTATTCTCACCAAGAGAATCCTCTGAAGGAAAAGCCTCATTTTTATCAACTGTATGTTCCTTTGATGAAACTCTGTCATCTGATGAACCCTGAAAATAGGTTAAAAAAAAAAAGGAACAAATCTAATTTTTAACTGTTTTCTAGTGAATGAATCCCAGATCTATTTCTAAAACAAAGGATTTGGTTTATTATGAATTACATTTCATGTGATTTTCAATCGTCAAACTATTTTTAGGAAAACTTCCCCTGCATTCACCAAGTGTACATTATCTTTTAAAAGCCAGAGTATGGCAGGGTGCGGTGGCTCATGCCTGTAATCCCAGCACTTTGGGAGACCGAGGTGGGTGGATCACGAGGTCAAGGGATTGAGACCATCCTGGCTAACACGGTGAAACCGTCTCTACTAAAAATACAAAAATTAGCTGGGCTTGGTAGCACACACCTGTAGTCCCAGCTACTTGGGAGGCTGAGGCAGGAGAATCACTTGAACCCAGAAGTGGAGGTTGCAATGAGCCAAGATCATGTCACTGCACTCCAGCCTGGCGACAGAGCAAGACTCCATCTCAAAAGAAAAAAAAGCCGGAGTACACATGTTGTAATCTGTCATCCTCTCAAAAATGTGTTATACTTCCTGATAGAGACGGCAGAATCATTACAGACGCTCACTTCCATAATGAAATGAACAAAAAAGTCAGTAAAAATGGCAAAAATTTCCCCAGGAGCCACCAAACTGAAAAGGGACAACTTTTTGCCATGAACTTTTAAAATGAGCAGCTAAGGAAAGAATAACTTTCTAGAGTCACTGGAGAGTAGCAGGAATGTGGGAAAAGCAAAGTAGAAAAAATCCTGACAGATTTCCCTCATACTAATTTGGGAATTACTAGGGAATATACGGCTTGGGGAAAAAGGAAAAACCTCTTGGTTAAAATACAACTTCTACTACTCAAAACCATAATATCCCAGCAGAGATGGGATAACCCATCAGTTTAACACTTTTCAGGGCTCCATGAGTTGGGGAAAGGGTATCCTCATGAAAATCAGATTCACCAGCCGGGCGTGGTGGCCCACACCTATAATCCCAGCACTTTGGGAGACCAAGGCAGGTGGATCACGAAGTCAGGAGTTCAAGACCAGCCTGGCCGAGAGGGTGAAACCCCGTCTCTACTAAAAATACAAAAATTAACCAGGCATGTTGGCGGGTGCCTGTAATCCCAGCTACTTGGGAGGCTGAGGTAGAGAATCGCTTGAACTTGGGATGCGGAGGTTGCAGTGAGCTGAGATCGCGCCACTACACTCCAGCCTGGGTGACAGAGTGAGACTCCATCTCAAAATAAAAAAACAGAAAATCAGATTTGCCCTTAGCTAGCAGAGATGAATTCTAGACATAGGTATTTAGCAATATCCTGAGAGAGCATAGCCCCTTTCCACAAATTTAAAATGACAAAAGCCCAGCCTCCCAAACTATTGAAAACTAACTCAATACCAAACCCATAAAGTGAAGCTAAGAAAATGAAAATAAGACAGAAAAGAGAATTACAGAATTCTCTGTTACACTGCTTACAGAGAACTCATCAGGTCACCATTCATTTGGTACACCACCAGGCTGTACCAAATAGATCATCATCATCATCATCAGGAGATGCATGGGGAAACTGCAGGTTCTTCCTTTGTTTTACTGGATTGAGACAATTTTAGCTTGAGTTATGCCCCAAACTTTCAAAAAACTTAATTTTCATATAAATGTATAGGTATAAAGCACAGTTTAATAAATTTTGACAAAGCTTACTCTTGTAATCAAAATCCCTATCAAGACACAGAAGTGTTTTGTTGATATAAACAGAAAATGAATTAGTAAAATTAGACTGTCATGGCTTAGCCAGCAAGAACCTATCTCATTTAACAATCTACTTGGCCATACTTGATAAACAGGAAAAAAAATATTTACAGTGAGGACCAAAAACTTAAATGCCTTACAAGGGCAGAAGTAAAATTATCAAAACTAAACTGATCTAAATAGATATACACTGACTTAGAGAAATGAAGAGCCCATATTTGTCAAATGGTATGATACTCAGCCGGATATTCAGCTGATTATTGCCATGTAGAAATGAAGGCTCAGCTTTCAATATTTCATGAGACACCAGAAATTTCTTGTATTTAAAAATAATTTTGGCTCCAATTTTAAAATTATGTAGGCCAAGCAAAACATTTATGGGCGAGACTTGGTTTACTGGCCACCAGTTTATAATCTTTGCCACTGAGGTTTGAAATTTAGGTGATTACAAGAGATATGAACTGGGGTTGAATTTGAGAGAAGTGAGTGAGGAAGGCAACAATGAGAGGTGGGTTAGGAAAGACATGACTATAAGCCTGAGTGTACTGGGTATCACATAAGCCTACCATTTCTCCAGCTACAAGGGTTGTGATGAATATAAACAAGCCACTATAGACAAGGAAGCCCTGATCTGGGAGACAACCTTCCTTAAGGCTGCTTCATTGGCTTTCTGTCCCTAGCTGCCCCACAAAACCCAACTTTTTTTCTGATGAAGGTTATAGACAGAAGATCAGCAACAGAAGTTCTAGACCAGCATGGTCTAATATGGTAGCCACCAGCTACATGTACCTATTGAGAACTTAAAATGTGGCTGGGCCAGGTGCACTGGTTCACACCCGTAATCCCAGCAATTTGGGAGGGTGAGGCAGGTGGATCACTATAGCCCAGTAGTGCAAGACAAGCCTGGGCAACATGGTGAAACCCCAGCCTCTACAAAAAATGCAAGAATTAGCCAGGTGAGGTGGTGTGCACCTATAGTACCAGCTACTTGGTAGGATTGCTTGAGTCTAGAGGGTTGAGGCTGTAGTGAGCAGTGTTTGTGCCACTGCTCTCCAGCCTGGGTCACAAAGAAAGACCCCATCTCAAAATAAATAAATAAATAAACTCCTTACAATAACTAAACACTATGCTATCTGGCTTTATAAAAGCAGTCCAGAAAATGTTATTCAACTGTCATACTAAAGTTTTATTACATAGCCATTTTTAAAGTGATATATTTAGCTTTACCTTTATTAATTCCTCTTGATTTTTACTGCTTGCACTTAGTCCAATGTTCAATTTCTCTTCTAGGATCAAGCACTTTGGCACTTGCCTTGTCTCAAAAGCTTTTTTTTCACTGACAGTCTTTACATCAGAATCTTCAATCACTTCTGATTTATTCTTTTGGGTGCCCCGTGACAGCTCATTTTCCAGGGACCACTTTCTAAGAGAGGATTTTTTTCTACTAACAAAAAATGCTGCTCCACCCTGGAGCGTAACTTGTGGTTTTATTTTTTGGCTTAGAACCCGAGGAGCATTGGGATTATTTTCAGCTGAATGACAATTATTTTCTTTCTCCATAATCGGCTTATAGATCACTCGATTTTGCTTGGGATTTCTAGAATTCCTTGATACAGACTTGATGTGTCTATACCTTGGTTGATACTTAGCAGTTAAACTCTTCTGTGGTTTTTTGTTGTTCTTCTTGGAACAGACTGGTTTTCCCTGCATTTTTTCTGTCACAATGGGAAAAGATATATCTTCATCATTAGTTTTTAGACAAGTAGATCTACTCTCTTTTATCAGCTTTCTCTCCAGTGGATTGAGGTACCACTTATTTTGGTTGTAAAAAGATACAGTGGACACAGAAGATTTAAATTGTGAGCCTTGATTTGCTGATGGCAGTCTATTTATTTCAGCTGTTTTGAGTGCACTTAAAACAAAATGCCCTTGTTGAGAGCAATGCAGGTTTTCTTCATTTTTATCACTGTTTTGATTAAAACAGTGCTTTTTATTAGGTGATGGAAACAGATTTTCAGTGAAGTGTATAAGGCTATAAAAAAAAAAAGTCCATTAAGATTATTTTGTGTCAAAATTTACATAAATCTACTGCTAAGTAATAAGCTCTACTTATAGGTCATATTAATACATGTACCCCCAAACATACACACAATTTTCTATTAGTTTAACAGGATTCTCAAATTCTGTCTTTATCAAATAAAACATTCAAATATCTTCCTAAAGAGCCCAATGTTCACGAAAACAAATACCATACACAAAGAAGCTTTGCTAGACATATATGCATGTGTTTTAAAATCTATTTCTATGTGTTGGCCATATATAAATGATAGTTCATATATTTTGCTCTATTGTCTACAAGTCCCCTATAATAATTGTCTGTAATGAACTGACTGGGTAGAGTAGTTAATATCTGAGTACACAAACTTTCTAGAATTGTTTCCAGACAAGCATCTACTGTATGCAAGACACTATGTAAAATATTATAGGGGAATAGAAAGGAACAAGGTAATAGCCGATCTGGTATATTTCCTGGCCATAGAAAATAACTTTCTTCAAGGGGCTGCTTCTATATCAAAAGAAAAAAAACAAAAACCAAAAAACAGCCTTCTTTGATTCCCTTGAAAAGGACTAAATAATTCGTTATGAAAACTTAATGTATTTTCTAGCTAGAATTAGAATATAGGTTATCAGGTTATCACTGTAGCCACAAGGAGTAGGCTAGTGGAAGAACAAAAATTTTAGAAAATAGGAGAGAACAAGAGAGACAAGAAGGTGGATTTTTCTAAGAGTTTCTATTCGTAGGCTGAGATTCACCTGTCACAGTTCAAAGAATCCTGCTTCCTCTTCCTTGGAGTAAGAGCTGCCATTGTCTTTATTGAATTCCTAAAAGAAATGACAATAACCACATTCATCAAAATATTAAAAGTCGCTTTATCAAAATTGCACCCCCTTTAATTAGTCTATTTCACACCAAGTTAAAACCCTATTTTCCGGGAGGCCTTCCTGGACACTGCTCTCCTTCCACCCCTCCCAGGGTTACACGCGCTTGCTCTGCTTCCATGGCACCCTATATTTCCCTAACAGTCCATTTAAGACATTTTCTTCTTGTTTTCCCATCTCAACAGCCTTCAACGAAGGCAGAGACCGTTTGTAACTTTTCATCAGAGCCCAGCAAGAAAATGGGTGAAGCACAGTCCTCTGCCCTTTTCCTAGCTGAGGAGCCTGGAGCAAGCCGTTTGCTTCCCTTTTTATAAAAATCTCTTAAAGTCGTGAGGCTGCTGAAAACAAATGCAAGAATGCACGAGCAGGCGGCTATGTGGCTTGTCAGAGTTCATTTCCTTCCCCTTCCGTGGCATCAGGAAAATTCCCCCCAAAGCAGCACACAGCGTTATTTCAAAGCCATTAATAAATGAACAAACTGAAAGGCCAGGGTCTCTGGGAATTCAGGTCGAGCTGCGGCTTAAGGGATGGCCCCTCTGGGGCTAAGCGAGGAAAGGTAGGGGAGGAAAGCGTCCCGACCCCGAACCCGGTCAGGGAAACAAACAAACAAACAAACCCTAAACCCAAAACAAGGAAACGCCGACGTCGGGAAGATGGAAACCCGGCGTCTGTGAGCGCGGAGAACGGGTTAGTGGCTTCTTCTGTCTCGGGGCCGCGGACCTGCCAAGCGCCAAGCAAAAGCTCTTTTCCCGTGACATTCGTCCCCACGTCCCACAAGGTTTCCCGCTCGCCTCAGCCTTCCACAGCCCTGCCTCGGCCTACTCCAGAGGTTACCTGCGCCTCAGAACCCGGCAAGCTCTCCTCACCCCAGTCAGCCGCTCCGTGAGCGTCTTCAAATTATCGCGCGCCAGGCTAGGAGGAAGCCGCTGCGTTCCGATTGGCCACGGCTCAACCCTTCCAGGGACTGGCTCGGTGATTGGTGGAGCACCAGCCCTTTCCCCGCCCACCCCAGTGGCTGTTTCCAAGATTCTCGCGCCCTGGTGAGGTGAAAAGTTCTGAGGGAAACCACGCCACCCACAATTCCCTGCAGCAACGCCGGGCTCCGTTCCCGGGGCCTTGTTTAGCTGCATTCTGGGAATTGTAGTTCTCGGCCCGGTTGAAGTCGATGTACATTCTGGGGTCACTTGGGGTAAGAAATTTTTGTAAAATGGCCTCTCCAACGTGGCGACAGAGCAAGACTCCGTCTCGAAAATAAATAAATAAATAAATAATAAATAAATAAATAAATAAATAAATAAAGGCCTCTCCAAGATTCTGAATGCACATATTTTTCACACTTGAAGCTTGTTAGTTTCACTTTTTTTATCAGTAACTTTAGGTTTATATTCACTATTTTATTTTTAAAATTAAAATATAAAACTTAACATCTGCTATGTGCCAGGCATTCTTAGATGCTTTACATGTTTTGTTTCTTTTACTTCTCACCACAATCCATAAGGTATTAATATCTATTGCCATTCCCATTTTACAAATAATACAACTGAGAACCCCAAAACAATTGCTATTTACAGAACAGAGTTAAATTCTTACTTTGGAAAACCAGAAAGTTCCTAAAACGGTTATTGTTAGCTATTGTTACTATATTTGTGTCACCAGCTCCTGGTACAGTGTTTCTGGCACATTTTTAGTTTCAAATAAGTTTAGGGTTTTATGTTTATTTTTTCAAATTTAATTTTCATAAATTTGCATGTCATCCTTGAGCAGGGGCCATGTTAATGTTCTCTGTATCATTCCAATTTTAGTATACATGCTGTCAAAGCGAGCACATAAATAAATTTCGTTAAGTGATGCCCTCAATGTCATAGAAAGAAGTCAGTGAGAGTGATTTAAGAGTGTCAGTTTAAAAGGAAAGGCTGAGGCAAAAAAATAAGAATGTAGAGTTTGCTTGAGTTAAAGCAGAGACAGCTGCCCAGAAGATTCCACCCCCCGACCCCCCACCCTCCACCAGTAGCTTTGGATATGAGCTCTGTCCGGCCTTTGCTACAAGCAGGTTTTTAAAGACGAAAAAGGAGGACAGGAAGTGGGCTGATACACAACTGTAAAGCCTTCTCATTTATAGAAACTACATGCATCAGTAATTGGCTAGACATTGTTAAGCTGTAGGGTGTGGGTCATAGTGTCTTGTGTGGCAGTGTTAGGTTAGTAGGTAGCTACTTGTTGCAGAAGCAGGTAGTTTCAGGAGATGAATACATAGCTCAAGGGGATAGTAGAACATGATGGGGTCTCATTTTAATACCTCTCCAGACCTAGTAATTTAAAAGGACTCTCATTCCTCAGATAAAAGTGCTTTCTCAAGAGAAATAATCAGGGCAAAACCAAGTGCTGTAGGAGCCTTACATGAGTATGATTATTCCTACTTTACGGCAGGAGTACCTCTGAGGTTCAGAGGTTTTGGGATGGCAGGCCTTCGATTTGAGCCAGAACACAGTCCAGTCCCCAAGAGGCATATTGTCCAGGTGAGTATCAGAAACAACTCACTTGTGTGCTATGTTCTAAACTCTTGGGGCCCATTAACTTATTTAACCCTAAAAAATATCCTGTGACTTAGCTGCTCTAGTATCATCTTCATTTCGCTGCTGAGGAAAGTGAAGCACAGATAGGTTAACTAATGTGCCCAAGATGCCTCTTTCCCTTAACCCACAAATCATTGAACCAAACTCCTTGCCAATACCCTTCGCCTCGCCAGGACTAAAGATGGCGCCCACGGCCGGCGTTATGACGCGCCCCGACGTCCGCCGGAAGTGCACGGAAGAGTTCCGAGAACCAGGCGGCCGCCGAGAGTCTGGTATCCTGAGCTTCGTGAGTTGAGCGCTGCTGCTCCGCGGTGGAGTCACCGCATCGCTCCGTGATCATGGTGTTCTACTTCACCAGCAGCAGCGGTGAGTGGGCGCCGCGCCCTCCGGGACCCTGCTGGACAGCGGGCTCCGAAGCCGGGACCCCCCAGTCCGCCGCTGCGCCTGACCCTCGCCCTAAAATGCCTCCTCGATGCGAGTGCCTCTTCCCGCGACCTCTAGTTCCCCCAGCACATCTGCCCCTCCCACAACTACAGGGTTTCCCCCGGCGTCCCCTCGTCATGGCGTGGGGGGCGCGGAGGGGCGATGCCACTGCTGTATTTGTATCGGGGAGTTCTCGTCCTCCAATCGGAAAGACGTCCCGTCACTCCCTGGAATTGGGCCAGAGCCTGTGGGCTCTTCCACACACCTTATCCCAAGTCTTCTTCCCACCTTCCATCTGCGGCCTTTATTCTGGCTGCACCCTGATATTTATCCCCCGTGAGAAAGGACACACCTGCTAACAACTTTTTCTTAAGGGAAGTGCGCCTTACCCTTTCAGGAAGGGGTTGTAGGGTCTGGGATGCAACAGAAAATAATAAAAAGACCCTGGAATGTCCACCCAGCCACTCCCTGGGCAGTTGATGTCCCAGATCTCAGAAGTGACCTGTGATAATGCTTCTGACTTATCTTTGACAGATAAGGAAAGGGTGCTTTTCGTTTCCAGGAAATGCCAGGTTCCGAATTGGTTTCATTCTGTTCCTGTTATTCCCCTTTCCTAAAATCAACCCCGAGCTAATTCCCTTAAGACAGTTTTGGCCCATCTTTTCCAAGATGCCTTTCCTGATCCTAGCTCCCACCCCAAGATAGCTTAGCTGTTCCTTTTCTGGGACCCACTTAATGTTCCAAGTATGCCTTTGGCATTGCACTTATCACGTTGGTATTAAATGGTGTCTGCTTGAGCTAGAGTGTAAGCTCCTTGAGGGCGTGGACAGGATCTCTTTACAGTAGTCCCTACTTGTCCTGTGTTTCGCTTTCCGTGGTCACATCATCACAAGAAGAAAAAGAGTGAGTACAGTACAATAAGATATTTTGAGAGGGAGAGAGAGAGCAGAGTCACATAACTTTTATTACAGTACGTAGTTATAATTGTTCTATTTTATTATTAGTTGTCGATAATCTCTTACTCCACCGAACTGATACATTAACTTTATCATAGGTATATATGTATACCTATACCAGTACCATGCCTCCCTTAATGACAAGAAGACATTCTGAGAAATGCTCCATTAGGCGGTTTCATTGTTGTAGCAACACGGTACAGTATACTTAAACCTGCGGTATAGCCTACCACAAACGTGGGCTGTACGGTATACTGTGTTGCTCCTAGGCTACAAACTTGTACAGCACGTTGCTGTGCTGAATGGCTGTAGGCAATTGTAATACAATGGTATTTGTGTATTTAAACGGGGCTCAACTTAGAAAAAGTGAGTTGCACCACGGTGTTATGATGGCTACCAGGTCATCAGGCAATAGTGATCAGAATTTTTCAGCTTCGTTATAATGTTATGGGACCACCATAGTATGTGTGGTCTGTTGCTGACCAAAGCATCATTATGTGGCAAGTCCCTTTTATATATGGAATTCAGTATTGTCCTTGGTTTCAGGCATCTACTGGAGATCTGGGAAGGCATCCCCCACAGATAAGGGGGGACTACCGTACTTGTTTCCCTAACTTAGTGACTGGCTAGTAGTTCTCAATAAATGCTTGTTGAATAAATGAATGCCATTTTTTTCTTACTCATAGCACTGTCTATTCTGTTGCTACTCTATATGCTAAAGGTGAGGTTTTTTTGGTTTTTTTTTTTTGAGATGGAGGTTTGCTCTTGTTGCCCAGGCTGGAATGCCATGGCACGATCTTGGCTCACTGCAGCCTCCACCTCCTGGGTTCAAGCAATTCTCCTGCCTCAGCCCCCTGTGTAGCTGGAATTACAGGAATGTGCCACCAAGCCTGACTAATTTTGTATTTTTTTTAGTACAGACGGGGTTTCTCCATGTTGGTCAGGCTGGTCTTGAACTCCTGACCTCAAGTGATTCGCCCCCCACCTTGGCCTCCCAGAGTGCTGGGATTACGAGCGTGAGCCACTGCACCTGGCCTAAAGGTGAGATTTATTTTATGTATTTATTTTTGAGACAGTCTTGCTTTGTCACCCAGGCTAGAGTGCAGTGGCACGATCTCGGCTCACTGCAGCCTCCGCCTCCTGGGTTCAAGTGATTCTGGTGCAGCTGGGATTACAGGCACCAGCCAACATGCTTGGCTAATTTTTGTATTTTTAGTAAAGATGGGATTTCATGTTGCCCAGGCTGGTCTTGAACTCCTGAGTTCAAGTGATCTGCCCACTTTGACGACCTCCCAAAGTTCTGGAATTACAAAGGGTGAGTTTTTGTTTTGTTCTGTTTTTTGTTTTTTTGAGATGACTTCTCCCTCTGTCACCCAGGCTAGAGTACAGTGGTGTGATCTCAGTTTACTGCAACCTCCACCTCCTGGGTTCAAGCAATTATCCTGCCTCAGTCTCCCAAGTAGCTGGGATTACAGGCACACGCCACCATGCCCGGCTAAGTTTTGTATTTTGTTAGTAGAGATGGGGTTTCACCATGTTGGCCAGGCTAGTCTCAAACTCCTTACCTCAGGTGATCCACCCGCTTCGGCCTTCCAAAGTGCTAGAATTAAAGGCGTGAATCACCACGCTCGGCCAAAAGGTAAGATTTAAGTGAAACTAGTTCCACATTGTTTGTGTGGGTTTGAATAAGGTGATACTTTCTCTTTAGAAATAAGATGGAGGCCCAGGTAAGTTGTAACTCACAGACCCTACTCTTCCACCGTCATCACACTGACATCTCCTTATTTTTCTCAGTGGTTTAGGTTTCCACAGTGTGCGCTGTGAGCTATTTCTCTGTTTCTGTACATGTGGTTTGTTTTATCCATATTATTAAAATTACTAGAAACAAAATTCAGAACCAGCCTGAAAAATCATATATCCTTATAGGCCTCTAAGCATTTTCATTCTTGGCAACTCAGGCATCTCTTTATAGCTTCTCCACTCGTGAATCTTCAACAACATAGATATCCATATAAACCCAACAACGGAAAAACATATACAGGCAGGGTGTGTAGGTACTGAATGTATTTTATGCTGTTCTATTCCCCTTAAAGTTACTGTAAATTCTTTAAGTGCTAGTCACACATACACAGCTGCCCTTAATAGAACAAAATGCTTCACTAGATTTGTGGGTCCTGTTTTTTTTCATTGACTTCCATTATAATATCAGAACTGTTTCCTGTTAGAAAAATATTTGGCCTCTAAGCCTAATAAAACTGCACTTGTGCAGCTGATCTTTTAAAACTGCAAAGTTAATGGAAAAATCATAACTTTCTCAGTAAAATAGTAATAAAACTTTACATATTGGCGGTATAGAAACAACAAATACATAGAATCTTCAGGAAATGAATTTGTATGGCTTGCCAAGTTTTCAACTAACTGATGGTTTTTACTGCATAAAAACTTTTTTAAAATGGGAAGAAAATCTTCATAGGAAGTTGTTCTTTTACATTTTAAGATTAATATCTGACTAAAATGTGTTCCATTTTCATTCTTTCATGCTATCTCATAAGGGAATAATTGAACATTAGTCTAATATGTCAAATTCAAGACCATCTGATTATAGATACTTGGCTCAAAGTCCACTTGTACTTTTAATACCTGTTAATATCATCTACCTAAAAGTAGGTTGTTCTATAAATTGTGAAATAATCAGATCACCTCTGAAGTTGGATTGGTTGCTACCCGTAAGTCAAGCGTCTTCCAAATAATGAGTTCCAGTACTAGTCAGCCATATTATTTAGATGAGAATAACAAATGAACTAGAATAATTCAGTTTACTTTTCCTTCTTAACATGGAAAGGAACTTAATTCAGACTTGTTGCGCAGCAATGATGTTCCTTTATATTGTTCATCTTTTTTTCTTTCTTTCTTTCTTTTTTTGAGACAGAGTCTTGCTCTGTTGCCCAGGCTGGAGTACAGTGGTATGATCTCGACTCACTGCAACCTCTGCCTCCTAGGTTCAAGCGATTCTCTTGCCTCAGCCTCCTGAGTAGCTGGGATTACAGGCATGCGCTACCACAGCTGGCTAATTTTTATATTTTTAGTGGGGATGGTTTCACCATATTGGCCAGGCTGTTCTTGAACTCTTGGCCTCAAGTGATCCTCCAGCTTCAGCCTCCTAAAGTGTTGGGATTACATGCATAAGCCACTGTGCCCAGACTTAATTTTCTATTATGACATAATTTCAGTCTTTCAGAGAAGTTACTAGTAAAAGATTTCATGTATATTCTCCCAGAGTACCCCAATTTTTTTTTTTTTTTTTTGAGACAGTCTCACTCTGTCACCCAGGCTGAAGTGTAGTGGCAAGTGTAGTGGTGCAGTCACAGCTCATTGCAGCTTCAACTTCTTGGGCTCAAGTGATCCTCCCACTTTAGCCACCACACCCAGCTAATTTTTAATTTTTTTTTTATAGAGACAGGGTTTCCTCATTTTGCCCAGGCTGGTCCCGAGCTCCTGGGCCCAAGTAATCCACCTGCCTCAGCCTCCCAAAGTGGTGGGATTACAGACGTGAGCCATTGTGACTACAAATTCTGGCATTTTACCACATGCCTTGTCTTTCTTTTTCCCTTTCTCTTTTTCTGTATTTTTTTCTCTCCCACACACCTTTTTCCTGAACCATTTGTTAGTAAGTTGCAGTTAACCCCTGAATGCTTCAGATTTGTTTTCTAAAATCAAGGGCATTCTCTTCTCAAGAGACATATTTTATTATCAAAATTAGGAAATTAACATTGCAGCGTGGCTATTATCTAATGAAGAGGCTTTATCCAGTTCCCATTAGTGTCGTAATGATGTATTTGTAACAAAAAATACCTTACAAATCATTGTTGCATTCTTCCGGTGTCATTACTCTGTAGCCTCCTCTCATCGGGAGCAGTTGCTCAGTCTTTGTCTTTCGTGGCATTGTTAGTTGAATAACTTTGTAGAATGCCCCTCACTTTAGGTTTGTTATGGTCATTTTCTTAATCACCTCATTTAATAAGTCAACCATCAAAACATTCCTCTGTTATTCTTTTGACTGTAGCTTAGAGAGCTTGGCCTGCAGAGATAACTTTAATATTTCATGTCAGTTGTTATTTTTTCTTTCTTGAGACAGTCTTGCTGTTGCCCAGGCTGCAGTGCAGTGGCACAATCTTGGCTCACTGCAACCTCTGCCTCCCAGGTTCAAGCGATCCTCATGCCTCAGCCTCTCCAATAGCTGGAATCACTGGCGTGTGCCACCACACCTGGCCAATTTTTTTTTTCTTTTTTTTCTTTTGAGACGGAGTCTTGCTCTGTCGCCCAGGCTGGAGTGCAGTGGCGAGATCTCTGCTCACTGCAAGCTCCGCCTCTTGAGTTCACACCATTCTCCTGCCTCAGCCTCCCGAGTAGCTGGGACTACAGGCGCCTGCCACCACACCCGGCTAATTTTTTGTATTTTTAGTAGAGACAGGGTTTCACCGTGTTAGCCAGGATGGTCTCGATCTCCCGACCTTGTGATCCACCTGCCTCGGCCTCCCAAAGGGATTACAGGCGTGAGCCACCGCGCCTGGCAGTAATTTTTGTATTTTTAGTAGAGATGGGGTTTCAACATGTTGACCAGGCTGGTCTCAAACTTCTGGCCTCAAGTGATCGGCCCACCGCAGCCTCCTGAAGTGCTGGGATTACAGGCATGGGCCACCGCACCTGGCCTATATCGTTATTTTGAAAATTCTGTTCTAATTACAAAAGCCATCTGTATGTTTTATAGCAGGCTAACCAAGGTAACTGTTGTTAAAAAATGTTTATGTTTCCATACATATAAATAAGTATGTGCTTATATAAAAATAAAACATGCATGTGTGTGTGTATACACACACACACACCATTATAATTTATTTTTTATAAATTGAATCTTCTTATATATAGATACACAAAAATACTGTTCTGGTACTTCATTTCTTCACCTGCCATTTCTTTTTAATGGGTACATAGTATTTTGTTTATGGATGTTAAAATCTGTAATATATCTAAAGAGTCTCTATTAAGGGGTGTTTAGGTTGTAAAAAGATTATTGCTTGGTGGAGTATTTTGGTACTCTATTATGGTGACATTATAGGTAGTGACATTATAGGATTGAAAGGGTATACACTTGAACTACTGCCAGGCCATTCAGAGAGAATCTGAAATGCATTTTAGTTTTATTCCCACCCTTTTGGCATTTGTTACGTGCTACACTAAGGCCTGATCAAGGTACTACAATGGTCAGTAATAGACAAGCATTTCTGTAAACTTGGCAATGCACACATTCTTTCAAGGTACTTTTCTCAACTACTTCTGTACTTAGCTATTATAAATGTCAAACAAAGGAATTAGTTTTTTCTTCCCTAAGAAAGGCAACTAGGATTGATCATTTAAGAAACTTTTCATTACTGAAAGTACAGGAAATCTCTCTGATATAAGACTTTTTAATTTAGGAGAGCGTATTGCTCTTTGTCCTTCAGGGCTCCAGGTACATGTGTGTGTTCTGTGCTGTGGAGTCATAGCCAACAGACTGTCCAGCCCAACCCTGCACTTATTGGTACTTTGCTTCAGTGTGTATTTATGCTTCAGTACTTCTTCATCGCAGGCTTTGTAGCCTGAGGGCCCAGTGTCTGTAAATTCAGGAGTTTAGTCTAATTGGATCAAACAAGTTTTGGTAGACTAGCTTTGAAACCTGGCACTCAGTTATAATTTCAGTAGGGAACTGTAATCCAAGATCAGGGATGTCTGCAATAAAACACTACCTTGGTAAAGCAAATGTCATTTCTAGGATAAGTCATACCCAGAAGATTCTACTTGATTTAGGACAGTTGTTTCTAACCCTGACCTTACATTAGAATTACTTGGAAGGCTTTTAGAAAACACAAATGCTCACTCTTGCCCACTGTAGATTTGGATTTAGTTGATCTGAGGTGAAGCTGGGGCATAATTAGATGATTCTAATGTAGATCAGGGGTCAGAGTCACTGGTTTAAAAGTTGGAGAATCATGGTCTCCCTGAATGCAATAGAGAGCCTGTTAGAATTTGCAGCACACCTGGAATATGATGGGTAATATTGGCTAAAAAAATTATGCAAAATAAAACTTTCATAAACATAGGAACTTAGTTGTGGGGTTTAGTTTTCTTTTCTTTTTTTTTAATCTTGAAGGGAAAAGTATAGGACTGGACTGGTGATACCATTGAACTGTAACCCTGAGAAAGTAGGAAAGTAGCTATTGGTAGGGATGGTAAACATTTTCTTTTGGGGCCAGATAGTAAATATTTTAGGCTTTGTGAGTCACCTACAATCTCTGTGGCTTATTTTTCTTTGTTTTGCTTTTTCTTCCAACCCTTTAAAAACGTAAAAACCATTCTTAGCTCAAGGGCTGTCCAAAAACAGGTGGTAGGCTGGACTTGGGTCATGAGCCATGGTTTGCCAACCCCTAATGTAAGCGTTGTCACTTGTTTTTCACATGGAACAATTTTGTTGGTAATGAAGTTACTAATTGTTTTTTATTTTTGTTTTATCTTAGTTAATTCATCTGCCTACACTATTTACATGGGAAAAGATAAATATGAAAGTAAGTTTTCAAAAGCATTTGATTTTAAAATTTTCAGCAGGTAAGTGTTATGTCTCTCTCACCACCTTCCATGCCCCTGACCCAGTTTGTTGGTTCTGAGTTTTCACCTACTTTGATAAACTAGCTTATGAGAAACAAAACAAGCTCATCCATTATAAGGAACTCCAAAGGATTAACTTTCCTAGAATTTAATTGTATAAAATACTATTTGAACTAATTGGTCCATCCGTTGCTGATTAGAAACTTACACTTTACAAGAAGTATTGTGTTGTTATTTGATTTACAGTAATATGAATCACAGATTAACCTTTGCTGTTTACTTCAAATTAAAAAAAATCCTCTGTGGTTTGAACTTGGGAGATCATTTTCTGTTTTTTTTTTTTGTTTTTTTTTTGGGAGGGAGTTTTGCTCCGTTGCCCAGGCTGGAGTGCAGTGGCGCTATCTCAGCTCACTGCAACCTCCGCCTCCTGGGTTCAAGCAATTCTTCCACCTCAGCCTCCCGAGTAGCTGGGACTATAGGCATGCGCCACCACATCTGGCTAATTTTTAGTAGAGACAGGGTTTCACCATGTTGGCCAGGCTGGTCTCGAACTCCTGACCTCAAGTGATCCACCTGCCTCAGCCTCCCAAAGTGCTGGGATTACAGGTGCGAGCCACTGAGCCTGACCCATCTATTTTTTACAACCATTTTAAAATGGTTAAATTAGTGAAATTAGTGAAAACATACTTACTGGGGCTTTTGAGGCTGAAGATGCTCTTTTTGAATTAAGAAATACTAGTATTTTTCAAACTTTGTTGACCGCTCTTCTTAGTATGAAGTACATTATGTTTTGATGTACACGTTCATATCACTAAAACAAAAACTTACAGAAATTACTCATACTACTTGCTATTCCCTCTTTTTACTATTTCTGTTTTATTTCATTTTTGAAAGCTAATCTCAATCTGCTAAATACATTTTTTGGCCCACTAATAAATTTGAACTAAAGTTTAAAAAAAGAGTAGGTTTTCATGATAATAAAGTTATGACATTAACTTTGGGTGTGACTTAATGGTGAAGCAGTCTGCAGCATATTAATACTTGAGTTTTATATTTCTCTTACCCATAAATCATCACAAGTAACATTGACTATTAAAGCATTTTTCTTATGTAGCTGAGGAGGTGCTGCTGTCTCCCTATGTTATGTTGAACAATGAGGCAGAGTAGCAGGAATCATGATTATCTATTGTGAATACAAATCCAAATATGTTTTTCTTTGTACCATATCAAGAGTGGGAACCTGAGGCTTAGATTACTGAGAAGCACTAAAGCAGAGTTAGTTGCCACGTATGCTTGTGCAAGTTTTGCACTGTGCAACCTAGTGGGTGGGGTGTGAAGGGCTGCCTTGATTCTGGTTCACACGGATGGGCTAGCAGTGGTGCCAGCCTAAGGCAGCTGTGCCAGTGACATTCCCACTGTGTCTCTTCTGTCCTTCTCTGTTCATTTACTGTTTGCTGGGGGCTTCTCTTTATGGGACCATGTTCCAGCCTGTGTCAGGTATCCGAAGAGGAAGATTTAGTTTGCGCTTTCACAGCATTCAGGTGGACTCACACACAAAAACAAGTATGGCCCAATTTTATTGTGAATGTACTCCAAAAAGTAAGGTCTATTTTTTAAAAACTATAGACAAAATGAAGTAACATGAATAGTAAATGCTGTAGAAGGAGACAGATGAGAGCTAGTAAATGTGATTGAAAGCTGAGAAGGCTTTGTGGAGGAGTGGGTTAGAATGGATAAATTGTGGAATCCTTTGAATGTCTGTTGTAGGAATATATAGATACAAATCTAGATACATAATTTATGTCACACATATACATTTAGTTGATATTTTTAGAGCTCTCTGGAGTGGCATTTTGCTGTCATTAAAACCTATGTAGAAAAAAATGTAAGAGGCCAGGCATGGTGGCTCACGTGAGCCTGTAATCCCAACACTTTGACAGGCGGAGGCAAGAGGATCACTTGAGCCCAGGAGTTCGAGACCTGCCTGGGCAACATAGGGAGACCCTGTCTCTACAAAAAACAACAATAAAAGAAAATATTACCTGGGCATAGTGACACACACTTGTTGTCCTAGCTACTCAGGAGGCTAAGGCAGGAAGATCGCTTGAGCCTGGGAGGTAGGCTGCAGTGAGCCGTGATCATGCCACTGCATTCCAGCTTCAGTGACAGAGCGAGAATCTGTTGTCTGAAATAATGTATGTATGTATGGAACACTTTTTCTCTAGGAATTCTTAGAGTCATTTGGAGGTATCAACTTTTCCTAGGCTGCTTTGTAAGAATGGACATTACTTCTCTAAATCACCCCATTGTCTGGCATTCCTAGCCCATTGCATTTATTTCTAATAGTCTTTATGACTTCAGACCAAGAACTCATTAGAACCATCAATTTAAGTGGAATGATTTACTTTCACCGAAAAGCTTTCAGGTCTGTTCTTTTTATCAGCCAGCAGATGTCATCAGGGAGCCAAACTTTGCCTGACTGAGGGAAAGAGATTTTTTAAATTTCTCTTTCCTTTTTCTGCTTACTTTTTGGCTATTTGCTCAGTCCTACTTAAAGCATTCGAAAGCCTTTCAGAAAACATGGTGTCTACAGCTGTTATGAGTGCCTTCACCCAAGATGTGTCTTCCTTTTGCTTTTCCTTTTCTGGACAGTAAATACCCCATTCAAATTATATAGACCATACTTTCTTGGGTACATTTTAAATCATCACATATGAATCATTCACAATTTTTTTTTTTGAGACAGTCTCTCACTCTGTCACCCAGGCTGGAGTGCAGTGGCGTGATTTCAGCTCACTGCAACCTCCACCTCCTGGGTTCAAACAATTCTCCCACCTCAGCCTCCCAAGTGGCTGGGGCCACAGGCACGTGCTACCATGCCTGGCTAATGTGTGTAATTTTAGTGGAGATGGGGTTTCACCATGTTGGCCAGGCTGGTCTCAAACTCCTGACCTTAGGTGATCTGCTTACCTCAGCCTCCCAAAGTGCTGGGATTACAGACGTGAGCCACTGTGCCCAGCCTCATTTACAATTTTTAAATTGGCATTTAATACTTAAATACTTCTGTGTTAAACAGAATTATTACCAATTATTATGGCTATATGAAATATTTATTGATAAAACCTTTATGTAGTGATATATATTAGCCTTAAAAACTGTGCATTCACTTTGAGCGAATACTTTAGCTTTTAGAAATATACCTTAAGGAAATAATCAGAAATATGGACAACTTTATTTAAAAAATTTATTGAAGCATTTATAGTTAGAAACAACCCAAGGGCCAACAATAGAAAAGTTTATTCATGTAAGAGAATTAGATGGTCATTGTTCCCAAAGAACTTTATTTTTATTTTTATCTAATAAATACATAGTTTAAAAAGTCAAGTACTAATAGAATGCTTAGAACTAAAAAAAAAAATCTGGCTGGGCGCGGTGGCTCATGCCTGTAATCCTAGCACTTTGGGAGGCCAAGGCGGGTGGATCACGAGGTCAGGAGATCAAGACCATCCTGGCTAACATGGTGAAATCCTGTCTCTACTAAAAATATTTAAAAATTAGCTGGGCGTGGTGGTGGGTGCCTGTAGTCCCAGCTACTCGGGAGGCTGAGGCAGAAGAATGGCGTGAACCCAGGAGGCAGAGCTTGCAGTGAGCGGAGATCGCGCCACTGCACTACAGCCTGGGTGACTGAGCAAAACTCCGTCTCAAAAAAAAAAAAAAAAAAAAAATCCTTCTTAATACCCATGTTCCACCCCACCTGCTACCTCCCCAGACAATTACTTTTCACTCTGTTAGCTATTTCTTCTGGTATTTTATTTCCATATGTGATAGAATTTTAGGTGATTTTTATTTTCTTTTTATACTTCTAGTGTTTGTTTTAAATTTTCTATAATTTTATAATCAAGTTATTTTTCTTAAGTAAAATATTGCTTTAAAGTTTCAGCAAGATCATTTTAATGTTTAAGTATTATTAGGTGAGCTGATTTTCTGAAACATCTAATGTCATGGCTGCATTGTTTTGTCAGTGTTAGTTTTATTATCTTCATATAGAAATAATATCTGAGCCTTAGATTAGAAGTATTACATAAATTTATAAAAATTATAGGTTTATATTCTTCAATTTTGAAAATTATTATTTTTTTTTCTGTATTTTCAAGCATCAAGGCCTCTGAATTACTCTTCTTCATTGAGGGAGAGAGAAATTTGTGGGAGGAGCTGACATTTCTCCCATTCTTAACTTATAAACGCCGGCATATCTTCATTTGACAGTTTTTGTTTCTTTGTTTTCTCATATCTCATTGCAGATGAAGATCTGATCAAGCATGGCTGGCCCGAAGATATCTGGTAAGTAACAATTTCGGTTCTGCTCTCTGTAGATCATCGTTTCCTTTCTTAGACTTGGCCAAGCACTCAAACTAGAATCGTGCTTTGTACTGTGGTTTATGGGTCTTCAGGGTTAAACAGCTGACTGCCAGTTCCCTTCATTTCTAATTACCTTGCAAGTTGGAAATGATGTTTTTGAGTTTGATCTCGGGCTTGAGAGCAAAGGCCTCTAGGACACAGGCCTTCTTTTTCCTCCTTTTGTCTCCACGCCATAGTAAGTTACTGAGACCACACCTCACTTAAATATTCAGGCCACTGTTCTTGAGTGGAAAAATGAAGACTTAACATGAAGCAATGAAGAGAATAGATACGAGCATCCATGCAGATGGAATAGATGGAGGTTCTGACCGATCCAACTTTAAAGGAAGCACACTTGTTCCCCTTTGTCTTCTAAACTCCCTGATGAGTTTAGCTCTGTCTTGATCCAATCCCAATGCCTTCTCTCTAAAACAATGTATGCAAACTGTTTTAAATAACATATACTTTCTTAGTCTCCCTTTGAGATAATTTATTTTGCTCACAAAACCCAGTCTAAAAAAAAGAATACCAAACAAACAAAAAGACTTCATTTAAGCTGAATTCTTTTCTCTGTCTTAGAACACCATTTAGACTTCTACCATGCAGACCTGGGACCTTTTATGAACACGTGAGCTTCTGTCCTATAACACTCTCACACCCAGTTTACTTTATTTTTCTTCATCTTCAGCTTCCACCACTGACTCTGACCCTAGTGTTGTCTCTCTTCTGGAACACAGTCCTGCCTATGGAGTGGGATATCATCTTCCTGACTCCTCATACCTCCTACTAAATGTTATCCCTGAAGATAAAGGCACCTGGGTCCCGTTTGCTTTATTATGATAGTGAACATCTATCAAGCACTTAACTATATGCCAAATACTACTAAGTGTTTACCTCCAGTAGTACATTTAATTTCACAACAACCCTGTGAAATAGATATTAATATTATGCCCATTTTTTCAGATGAGGAAATTAAGATTAAGAGAAACTGACAGAGTCTGGTCTGTCTGCTACTGGCTCCGGCTCTGGTTCTAAGTCACTGCTTCTGTCTCCTCCAGACTGCTACTCTTTTGACTTCAACTCCTTTCTTCTCCCAGGCTGTTGCTGCAGCTCTCTCTGGACCTCTTTTCTCCAAATGTGGACACAGACCCCTCACTTAATTCCCTCTAGTGATGGAACTGAGGCTGCTGCTTTTTAGTAGAGTTGATTTAATTTTCTTTTTTTTTTTTGGAGACAGAGTTTTGCCCTTGTTGCCTAGGCTGGAGTGCAATGGCGCAATCTCGGCTCACTGTAACCTCTGCTTCCTGGGTTCAAGAGATTCTCCTGCCTCAGCCTCCCAAGTAGCTGGGACTACAGGTGCCCATCACCATGCCTGGCTAATTTTTTTGTATTTTTAGTAGAGACTGGGGTATCATTGTGTTGGCCAGGCTGGTCTCGAACTCCTAACGTCAGATGATCCACCTGCCTCAGCCTCCCAAAGTGCTGGGATTACAGGCATGAGCCACTACGCCCGGCTGGAACAAAGGAATTTTAAAGGCTTTTTAAAATCTGGTCCCTATTCCAGCACAATAGCCTGTCTTCTAAATCCAAATATGTCCTCAAGTTAAACCCTGCTTGGTGCTCTCTTGCCTCAAGTGGGCAGTGTGCAATGCTGAAAACAGCCAGACTGGGGCTGCCCACCTTCCTAGGGCCTGAGACAGTAAGCTGTATGAGGACAATGACCACCTGTTTCATTAACTACTATGTTCCCAGTACCTAGCATAGGTCCTGGCACATAGTAGGTATTCAGTAAATATTTGTTGATTTCCTAATTGACTCTCTGCCAGCGTAGAAATAGTCCCCATGAACACTTCCCTACAATGGCCACATCACAGTTATCTTCATTTTGAGTTCCTGCCACCTGCAGCTGGATGACTTTCAGTTGTTTTTAAAGACCAGCTATCTCTAGACTGTCATGGAAATAAGAATGGCTGCACCTGTTAGGCAGTTAGCCGATGGAAATTTTTAACCTATCAGGTTTGAGGCATAAATACCTGCATAGAGAAGGTTACATAATCAGATGCAGCCTGAAAATCAGTGTACCACAGTCTTCTACCTGACTTTCATTTGTTTAATTAAATAAATGGAAGAGAAATTTCCAGTTTACAACCCACATCCAATAAATTATGACCTCAGTTTTTCATTTCATTAAGGTTAGTACTTCCCAAATTGGTCTACAGATACCGAAGGCCCATTTTGACCTCCTTTAATAGTCTTGAGATGAATGACTCTTGTTGGATGTGATTGGCTTTTACCTTCAGAAGCTATACTTGAGGTGTGATGTGAGTAGGTGTAGACCTCAAAACCCATTCCAGCTGTCAATTTTGGACATATTCCAGGGAGTGCTAAGAATGATCCTGAGTTGATCACTATTCCAGAGTGGGGTGTTTGCCTGCTTCACTTTGTGGAGCTTTTGAATCATTCATTACCTCTGTGAATGTCAGCATCTGAATTTATCCCGGAAAACCTTCTGAGGCTCTTTTAAGCAAAGGGTTTTCCTAGGAATCAGTGAGAATGGAACTAAATTCATCTTTTTTTTTTTTTTTTTTTGAGACAGAGTCTTGCTCTGTCACCAAGGCTGGAGTGCAGTGGTGCAGTCTTGGCTCACTGTAACCTCCACCTCCTGGGTTCAAGCTATTCTCCTGCCTCAGCCTCCCAAGTAGCTGGGATTACAGGCATGTGCCACCACACCAGGCTTATTTTATTTATTTATTTATTTATTTTTTGAGATGGAGTTTCGCTCTGTCACCCAGGCTAGAATGCAGTGGTACCATCTCAGCTTACTGCAACCTCCACCTCCTGGGTTCAAGTGATTCTCCTGCTTCAGCCTCCCAAGTAGCTGGGACTATAGGCACCCACTACCATGCCTGGCTAATTTTTTTGTATTTTTAGTAGAGATGGGATTTCGCCATGTTGGCCAAGCTGGTCTCCAACCCTTGAACTGAAGTGATCTGCCCACCTTGGCCTCCCAAAGTGCTGGCATTACAGGCGTGAGCCACCGTGCTCGGCCCTAAATTCATCTTTAAATGTAGGAAAATAGAAATAGTGTGCATTTACTGTGTCCAGACCTCCTAATGATTAGTATTTCCACAGACTCTGCTTTAAGTAGTTGGACAGCCCAGCTCCAGGGCCCTGAATCTGTATCCTCAGACAGTTTATGCTCATTTAGTGAAGTTTCTGGTCTCTGCATTCAGAAAAGGGTAACAGGGAGAGGAAGATAACAAGGATAAGAGGGAACTATGGTTATAATTTAAACTTTGAGTAAATGTTTAGAAAGATTTGAGAAGTCGTTTGTTTCTTTTTTAAGGAAACTTGCTCAAGATTGTTTATAGAGCTGGATTTTTTTTTTTTTCTCTTATACTTTCATCCATTCTCCCCTGCCCTTTGTAGACGTGTATCTATCATATACAAACCTGAAACTGGTGTATATTGGAAAAGTTGCTGTATTTTGGCAGTGATATTCCTGTGTGTGTTTTGGTTCTTTCTCTCCTTATGTATGAATATCATTAAATATATATTGAATTATTTGGGTGTTTCTTTTGACAAAAGTCTACATCAGAGACCTTTAAGAAAAAAATCAGAATACAATCTACTGTAGGCCCATGGGGAAGGAGATGTTGTAAATAGAGAACTGGCTTAAGGCAAATAAAAGTTGGAATGGGAGAAGTTACTTCTCAGTTATCTTGGTTACTAGTGTGATATTTTCCTAAGATTTTGAAAGACGGTAATGAGATATGTAATTTTTAGATTTGCAAAAAACACAGGTTTTTCTGGCTGGAAAATGTCCAGCTGAAGGTGATAATTAGTTTGAATCTCTCACATGGGAATGCAAATGAGTAAGTGAACCACTTGGAGAAATATAAGTCAACTAAGATGTTATGTCCATTTCTGGCGATTACTAATGATTAAGAGTAAAACCTAGAGTCATCATAGACTCTGTGCCAAAAGTGCCTAATATTTTTCTGATTTCACAGTGAATAGCAAGATGACTAACATCTTTAAAGAGGGCACTTTTATATAGAATCTTACAGTCTACATCTTGTACTAGGTGTGAAGGTGACCATTCTCACCTCTAAAACATTTATTAGTGCTTAAGAAAATGGCTAGAGAAACTTAATGGGATGTAATGGTGCCTCTTTAGGATTTTCTGAACATTCTTCAGTCTGGAAAGGTAAGGACCAAGGAAGCAGTATGGCTAATATATTAGTCTGTCTTACACTGCTATAGAGAAGTACCTGAGACTGGGTAATTTGTAAAGAAAAGAGGTTTAATTGGCCATGGTTTGGCAGGCTATACAGGAAGCATGGCAGTGTCTGTTTCTGGGAGGCCTCGGGGAACTTTTAATCATGGTGGAAGGCAAAGGGGAAGCGAGGCATCTTACATGGCAGGAGCGGGGTGCTGGGGCCACGCACTTTTAAACAGATCTCATGAGAACTCTGTCACAAGAATAGCACCAAGGGCATGGTGCTAAACCATTCAGGAAGAATCCACCCCCATGGTCCAGTCACCTCCCACCAGGCCCCACTTCCAACACTGGGGATTAAAATTTGACATGAGATTTGGTGGGGACGCAAATCCAAACCATATCAACTAAAGTTAACAGAATCACGAAGTGACAATCGTGTTACCTTGTTTGTTGTGTGATGCTGGGATTCTGAGGGGGCGTTTCCGGGTATTGGAAAGAGAAAGTCAGGTTCATTTGGTGAACTGAAAACGTAAAAATCTCATATCCTGAATGTTGCATAGATTTTAAAAGGTTTAATTAAATTGATAGATTGATAGAGTCATAATGAAAGGTAAATTTAAGGGGCGGGGGACATTCTGAATGTTTTTAGGACAATGTCAATAAAGGACAGTGCTCACCCAAGAGACATATTAGTATCACTGTCAGAACATAGGGCTGGATGAACTATTGGGCTTGTGAATTATTGGGTTACATTATTGAATTGTAACCCATTTAATGATGTGTTCTGCTTAGCATCTTTAGGCCCCACCTCACTCTTCCAGCTCTCTATTCAACATTCTTTTGGATTGTTTTGCTATCGCTTGAAATTTGGGATGTCACAAACAAAACTGTCGTCTGTTTCCCCCAAACTGTGGTTCTGCTCATCTCCCAGGCTGGCAGCATTGGAGACTCACTGACTTCTTTCATTCCCCACTCTTTTCACCTGAAATTCCTTTCCTTGGTTTTGCTCTAAGTCGTATGCTTCAGTCAGGGCCAAGCAAATCTCACTGCCTCTTTTTTAATCATGAAGCCTTTGGTCACTGATAGTTCTTTTTATATCTTGAAAAATCACCCTTCCCAGCAAGTTAATATTTAGTATCTCTGCTCATCTTGGCACTTACTCACAGCTCCATAACTCAGTGTTTCTCGTACCTCTTCATGGTGATGGGGAGCCCTTTGGAGGTGGTGACTGCTGTATACTCCTCGTGATGCTTCACATGTGGCAGGCATGGAGTGAACACTTTTTAGAACAGAATGCTTTAAATGGCATGTGGCCTGAGGAGATAATTGTCTTGTACCTCTTGCTAAAAGTGGTTTTCATTCTTTGTAGGTTTCATGTGGACAAACTCTCTTCGGCTCATGTATACCTTCGATTACATAAGGTAACTGAATTTAAACATGGATTCATGACTTTTCTCCTGATGATGCGTCATATCTTGTTCTTTATCTTTTGCAATTAAATTGCTTAAAGTAATAAGTCGGTATGCAAATCTAGAAGTTAACGAATGAAGACATGTCTTCCCTCTGACCCAGAAAATCAGTCTGTAACATTCTAGATGATTTTTGAGGTGTAGAAGGAGGTAGTGTACATATTTCCCAGCTAGACGCACTGCTTATTCTGCCACTTCTGGTGTGCTGTCTGCCATCTCTGCTTTCCTTTTCTTTCGATTCAGTTGACACTCCCAGACTTTCTGTCTCCTCCAGTGGATATCATGTGTGGCTCATGTGATTCTCCTGCCTCAGTGAAGGGCCTGTGTTCCCAGCTATCTTGGGCTTCTTTAGGAAGTTTAAAAGAACATGCTAGTAATAAAGGAAAAAAATATTTAATGGTCCCTAGTAATGCAATACCACTACTTTTCCAATCTGTCTCTATTCATATATTTTGAGTAGTTGAATCATAGGGTATATATGCTTGTGAGTGTACTGCTTTCTTTTTGATAAACTTTTAACTTTGGAAAAATATTAGATTTACAGAAAAGTGGCAGGAGTCACACAGAGTTCTCATCTACCCTTCACCTAGTTTCCTCCGTCATTAACATCTTACATTACTATGGCAGATTTGTCAAGATGGAGAAACTAACCTTGGCATGTTGCTGTCACCTAAACTCTGGACTTTATTTGGATTTCACCAATTTTCTATTAATGCCCTGTTTTTGTTCTAGTAGCCAGTCTAGAGTACCATATTACATTTAGTTGTGTCTGCCTCGTCTCCTCTAGTCTTTGACAATTTCTCCATTCTTTCTCTGTTTTTCATGACCTTGACAGTTTGAGAAGTACTGATCAGGTATTTTGTAGACTATAGCTCAGTTTGCATTTATCTGATATTTTTTCTTGTGACTAGATGGGTTATGGGTTTAGGGGGAGAATATCACAGAGTGAAGTGCCTGTCTCATCACAGCGTATCGGATGCATGCATTACCATGACTTATCATTGATGACGTGAGCCTTGATGGCCTGGCCAGGGTAGCGTTTGGAGGTTTCTCTACTACAAGGTCGCTTTTCTCCCCCTTTCTGTACTCTTATTTGAAAGCAAGTCACTAAGTCCAGCCCATACTCAAGGAGGTGGAGGATGGAATTAAGCACTACTTCCTGGATATGGGAGTGTCTATATATATTATTTGGAATTCTGGAAGGAACATTTTTCTCTTTTCTCCTATTTATGTATTCAGTCATTTATTTGCATCAGCCTAGACTCCTGTGTTTATTTTATCCTTTGAGATATGTTCTAGAACCGGGTTATTTTACTCTGATATCATTGCAGCTTCAGCTGGGGCTCTTTCAGTGGGCTCCCGTGTGCTCCTGTGTCCTCTGACTTGCTCCCATCCTTTTGTTCTTTGAGCACATCCTTGCTTTCTGGCACTACAGAGATCTCCAGGCTCGTCTTGTGTTTTCCCTGTCCCAGCTCCAGAATCAGGCATTTCTCCAAGGAACCTTGGTTCTTTTCAGTGGTAATGGTGTTTTGAAATCAAGATCTAGACAGATCCTTTTGTAGTTTATGAGTGTGGTGATTGGCTGTTCATGTGCATGTATGAGATGTGCCACCCTTGAACCTTGTCATGTCTGATGTGAAAAAATTTAAAAAGATCTAGGCTCTGGGTGTGCCTGTTACCACTGGAGTGTCATTGCTTTTTGGCCCTCTGAGCTGACAGAGAAGGAGATACATGTATGTGTACTAACCCATGCATATGCACATATCCATAATTGTTTCTGTATCTCTCCATCTGTATTTATACTAAGCTAAACATGAGCTCATGGGGATGGCTCTGATTGTCATCCTTTGCTTTTTGCCTTAAAGCATTTCCAGTCAAAACATTGTTTTCCGTGCTAGCACTTGGGGAGGCTGAGCCAGGAGGATCACTTGAGCCCAGGAGTTCAAGACCAGCCTGGGCATCATAGGGAGACCCTGTCTCTACAAAAAATAAAGAAAATTTAGCTGGTTGTAGGATACCCACCTGTGGTCCCAGTTACTCGGAAGGCTGAGGTAGGAGGCTCACTTGAGACCGGGAGGCTGAGGCTTCAGTGAGCCATGATCACACTACTGCACTCCAGCCTGGGCAACAGAGCAAGACCCTGTCTCAAGATCAACAACAACAAAAACACATCATTTTCCAAAGTTAGCTGTAAGCTACTTTTTTTTTCCCACCCCTTTCAGTGATGTGATGTCCTGTGTTTGTAATATAGTTAAATTCTTTTGTCCACATTCCAACTTGACATCCCGTGGTTGATTACTTTTTAACGTGACATTTTGTGAACTTTTTTATGTTGCTATATAATTTTCATATTTGTTATTTTGACTGGCTGCATTGAGTTAATAATATGCTACAATTAATATGAAACTCCCTTGTCAGAATATAGGTTGTTTACAATTTTCCAGCATTATGAATCCCAAGAAATAACTTTCCATGATCTACCTTCTGGTTCTATGTTTTGTTTTTTTGTTTTTCATTATTCTTTTACAATAATTCTTAGGAATGGATTTCCTGGGTCAAAAGATGTACATAGTTTGGTAACTGCTTTGTTGCCAGATTGCCTTCTGAAAGTGCTGTGCTTGTTTTAAATGCTCTCTACTATTTATAGGTTTTCCAAAATCTTTTTGGGTTTTATAACTTAAAAAATAAAATAAAAACTTTTGGCCATTTTGATGAATATAAGATGCTACTTCATTATGGCGATAATATTCACTTTTTAGTTTACTAGCAAGGTTAAACATTTTGCCCCATCTCATAGTATTTATGTTTTTGAGGACTATATGGTGAAGGAAAAGAGGATTATAAACTCTATGCTGGAGCAAAATTCTGAGTTCTTTTAGGCAACTTCTTGCCATTTTGGAACTATTAGATTTAGAGAAAATAAATTATGGCATTACCAAATTTCATTTTGGGTCAGATTAATGTCTTCTTTGGGGAATCTGCTGTGTCAGAAGATGGAAAATACTGGTAGTCCCAAGTTCACATTATCACCAATTATTACTTGTTTGAATTGAAGTTCAATTTCACTTTCTTTTGGAAGCATATAATGAGCCCAGTTTAATTTTTTTTTTTGGTAGATATGGGGTCTCACTGTGTTGCCCATGCTGGTCTCAAACACCTGGGTTCAAGCTATCCTTCTGCCTTGGCTTCCCAAAGTGCTGGGATTACTGGCATGAGCCCCTAAACCCAACCTAATGTGCCCAGTTTGAAAGTGTGTGCTCCTTGAGGAACTTTTACCTGATTAATTTCCTGCAGTAAATGTCATAGCCATTGTACTTAGTAGGTACCAAGGAAGTGTTGGAAATGCAGAAAGACTAAGGGGTTCATTCAGACTCGGGGGCCAGACTGCTGGTTTTGAATTCTGGTTCTGCTGCTTACTCACCACGTGACTCTGAGCAAGTTACTTAACTGGCCTGTTTCTGCATCTGTAAAAGGGGCATCACCTCACTTATTCATCTTTGATTTTGATACAAATTTCTGTAGAGAAGAAGGATCAGTGTCATTTCTGTTATTTCTTCCTTATAATGAATGGTTGAGATCTACAAAACAAGAACTTTTTTCCTGATTAAAGCTGAGGATAGATGACCTACCAGATGTCTGAGAACTAAAACTACACATTTTCTTTTGAAAGGAAGGTCATAGGGACCTCGGCCAGGAAGACATCCAGTTGTCAAAAATAGGCACCATTTTCCCACAAGGTTTCTAGAAGTCAGAATGAGAAGAAAGAGAATAAAAATTACTCAGACATAATTATAATTAATATTCTGGCAGTTTTTTTCATTTCCTGTTTTGTTTTGTTTTCACTTATTTTCAGTATTTTTCATATTACAGTGTTCTCTTATTTTAAACAAACATTCCCATAATGCACACAGTAAATTTACTTTTCAGTGTTCTGTAACAGTTGAAGAACCTCTGCTTTTAATAAAATCATACCTGGTAGATAAGGCAGCGAATGCCCTTTGAGTGCCCCAGTGTCAATGGATAATGAGGTAGTGGACCAATTGGTTTATTTTTGTGTTTCAGGGAGAGAATATAGAAGACATCCCAAAGGAAGTGCTGATGGACTGTGCCCACCTTGTAAAGGCCAATAGCATTCAAGGTCAGTTTTCCTACTGGTGTTTTTAGAATTAGCATTAACTTTCTCTGTGTCTGAAATGGATTACATTTTAGTGAGCATGCTGTTGACTTTGGCCTCCATCAAAGGAATAACATGTGCTGTGCCTTTGCCATGTTTTGTTCTTTAAGATGGATGGCAATTTTGCTACCTGTCAAATAACTAAAAACTGATCTCCCCACCCCTGTCATTTTGATGGTCCTATCTGAGTCTCAGCTCTTTTTACTGTTTCCTTACCTTGAATAGAAGGTTGTCTAGATCTGTCTGTACTTACTGTTATTATAAAAAGACTTTGGGAAATTTGGTGATGTTGATAGCTAAGCAAGAACAATGTGTTTTATGGCTTTATTTTTAATGTTGTTTGATATCTTTATTTCTATTATTTGTCATTAGATTCTAGAATTAAAGTCCCCAAATCGTGCTTTTCTACTTTTTCTTTCTCTCCTCCTCTTACGTACTTTTTCCCTCTTAAATTGTGAAGTTGTCAAGTCAGTTGATCTTGTTACTTCCCCTCCCCACCGAAGAGAATCTTATTTAGTTGGTCTGGGGTGATTCCCAAATATCACTGCTTTTAAAAGTTCTCTGTGTAATTCTCCTGTGCAGTGTGGGTTGAGAACAATTAGCCTAAGTGTTTTAGGTGGGGCCTGGCATCCTGTGCTTGGTGATTACCTGGTATTTATTTCTGCCATGCAAGATTTCATCTAATCGTCATGAAGGGTCAAGAAGGATGATTATTAGGTTAGAGGTGGGGTTTAAGAAGGGAAACCAGGAGGTGGTGCTCTGCTAACGATGAGCCAGTAGATCTGATTTTAGGGTGTAGAACATAGGTCTAGATCAGGTAGAGGTTATTGTGGCTTGAGATGGAGTGGAAGGATGCTCCAGAGGGTTGGAAAGCAATCATGGTTTGGTAGAAGATAAACATGGGGCAAACCCACAGCTGATAACAGGTACCAGGGGTTGGCAATTACAGGACAAGAGCAGCGCAGCATTCCCCTTTCCCTGTCACTCAGACTGTGCTTCCCACACCTTCACTTAGGCAGCCTGAATGATGAGTCAGCACCTAGCCAGAGAAGGTAGAACTCTTGCTTTACAGAGCCACTGATTTTCAACTCTATAAGTCAACAAATTGTAATACATTTTGGGACATTCCATTTTATGAGTAGAACAGAATTTTCTAAGATTTTCAGCAAAGATCTTCAGTTACTGAAATAATAAGAATTGAAACAGTCATTATATTCTTTTCTTCTGTGTTCCAACTTCCTTCACATGTCCTTATGCCTTCCCGTGCCCCTGGCTAGCAGACATGCCTTTGTCAAAAGAGCTTTGGAGGCCTTATTCTTGGCCCAGCTGCTTTCTTCTTAATCTCTTCTTAGTTTACTAGTTCTAGAGAAAACAAAGAGGAGCAAAGAGTCATGACCTTGAATTACTCTTTCTCTCCTCTTCAGCCTTCTGCAACGATAGCTCAGCTAGCAAATAAGGAGCTAAGCCCAAGGGTCTTGCTCTTGTGAGTCAGTAGAAGATACGGTGCCAAGGAGTGGAGAAAACGGTCTTTGCTCTGAGATTTCTAGAGGACACTCCGCTTGTGGCACTTTGTAGGGACAAAATTTTCCCCCGGTTGACCACCTGCAGTGATCAGAACCAAGGACATTGGGGGTAAACTCGTTCGTCACTGTAGAATCAGCCTGTTCTGGGTCATAGGTCTAGAATCTTAGGTCAGCCTGTTCTTTGTTCACCCAATGAATCTTTCCAGATTAAACTTTTAAAAGTTTAGAAACTTTCTTGACTCCCCTCGGCCTAAACTGTTCAGTCCGGACTTCTGAAGTTGGTATTTAAGCATCTCTGATTTGACTGCGGACTTCTTTTCCTTCACGTATTTCACCCTACAGCCAAAGCCAGTATTTGCTGTTTTCTGACCTTGCACCCGGCTTGTATTGTTCCCTCTGCCTTCAGGTTTGTCCTTGTCAGTCATCAGAGTCCAGATGCAAGCTAAGGTTCAAGGTCCACATAGTAGGTATAGTGGTGGTAGTAATTGCTAACATTGATGGAATGTTAATTACATGCGTGGCCGTGTGCTAAGTACTTCACAAATTATCCACCCTGTTGAGTTAGATATTATTTTCATTTTATAGAGGAGGAAACTGATCTTAAAGAAAATTAAGGAACTTCTTCAAGGTCTTAGAGGTCTAAAGTGCAGTAGCGACTGGATTTGATGTCACCCCATTTGGCTCAAGTCTTCTGCCATAACCCCTGAGCTCTGTGAGCCTCCTCGATGAAGGCTTTTCCTTCTTCAGCTGTGAGTGGCCCCACTTTCTCTGTGCTGTCTCAGCACTTTTCTCTACCTTTCCAACAGCATTTGGTCAGTTCTCCTTTTAATCCAAGTTATTTATGTGCTTGCCGTGCTCCGTTAGAGTCGTGGAGAGCAGGAGTCATTGTCTGATCATGTTTGTATCCCCCACAGTGCCTTGCACATGGAGATTTTCTAAAGAAACTTTATTTTGAAAAAACTTTCAGATATACAGAAAAGTTGCAAGAATAGTACAGCTACCATATACCATTCACTTAGATTCATCAATTTTTAAATTTTACCATATTTATTTGCTTTATATATAGCATACTCATTAACCTTTTTAGCTGAACCATCTGAAGGGAAATTGTAGATATCATGACCCTTGAACATGTTTCTCTGGAGAACACGGACATTGTCTTAAATAACCGCATTACAGTGGTAAAATTCAGGAAGTTTAACATGGATAGAATACTGTGTTCTGATATACAGTCCATATTTAAGTTTTGCCACTTGTCCCACTACTGTTTCTTTATAGCTTTTTTTTTTTGGATCCAGGGCCATGTGCTGTATTTACTTGTGCTGTATTTACTTCTCTTTAGTCTCCTTTAATCCAGACATGCTGCTTTGTTTTTCGAAGAGTGCACCCAGTTGTAGTAATGGGATTACTAACCCACAGTTGGGGTTTGTCTGACGCTTCCTCTGGATTAGAATCCCATCATGCACTTTGGGGCAGGAATATTACATAAGTGAAGTTTTGCACATTATAGTCAGGCAGCACATGATGTCATTTTGTGCCATTTTTGGTGGTGTTAACCTTGAACACTTGGGTAAAGTCGTCTTCCAGCTTTTTACAGTGTACATGGGGATTTAATAAGCATTGAAATCTCTTGCCATCTAATTTGAAAGGACCAGAGAGAGCATCAGACCAGTGATTAAACTGCGATTTCCAGAGCTGCCAGGGAGGGTACTGGGGGTAGAGGGCATGAGTGGTGGAGGAGGTGGTGCAAGGGGTAGGAGGAGGAGTCAACAGGGCACCTGGCACTCCTTCCATCCAGAGCGCCTCTGCTCTGATGACTTCTGTATTTTCTTTAGTAAAAGGGTTCCACTGCTGAAATAAAATATAAGCAAAAAATCTATTCAACTAGTCCAATTTCCTCACATTTCATATGCGATTCAGAGGGCCGGGGGACTTCTCTAGAGGGGCTCGGCTAGCTAGCTCGTGGTAGTCCCGGCTAGAGTCCAGGGCTTGCGAGTCCCAGGCCATGGCTTTCCATTGCTGCTTAACCTTCAGAGTCAAGGAGTCCTTTGAGAATCTGAGGAAATGTATTCAGTCCTTTTCTCTCGGAAAAAACCACAATGATACATTTTGCATCCAATGTTAGAGAGTCCTCAGAAGTCCCTGAAGCTAAACCATGGACCCCTACTTGCCATAGTAATACTTCCATCTGAATTTTGTCAGCTTTACCATTTGCCTTTTGTGGGTGGTTTTGAAAAAGTGTTGGTGGTTTAAAACAATGGGTGGCCTGTTCATTCTAAGCCGTTTCCCTTGTCGGCTTATGGCAGTTTGCCAGTGGGTAAGGGAACACATTGCTCAGTCTCATCCTGCCTGCATGTTGAAGACAGTCTCTCTTGGCAGGCTGCAAGATGAACAACGTTAATGTGGTATATACGCCGTGGTCTAACCTGAAGAAAACAGCTGACATGGATGTGGGGCAGATAGGCTTTCACAGGCAGAAGGATGTAAGTGTTTTGTGCCACTGAAGGAGGCGGAGCCCCGATACTGAATGGAGTATCCTATCTTTTCTGTCTGACACCATTGTTGTTGAGGGCTGAGCATGATGTGTGTTTTCTAAAGGGAATTAAACTGGGTTGCTAAACCCCTGGAAAGCCTTACCCCTCTTCTGGGAGAAAAAAACAAAAAGATGCAATATCTTTTCTCCTATCTCCCTTAAAGGTAAAAATTGTGACAGTGGAGAAGAAAGTAAATGAGATCCTGAACCGATTAGAAAAGACCAAAGTGGAGCGGTTCCCAGACCTAGCAGCAGAGAAAGAATGCAGAGATCGTGAAGAGAGGAATGAGAAAAAAGCCCAAATTCAGGAAATGAAAAGGAGAGAAAAAGAAGAAATGAAGAAGAAGAGGGAAATGGATGAACTTAGGTATGTCGGAGCTGTGGCATTGAGACTGGCCTCAAAGATTATTCCCTGATGATTTTAATCATGTCTTAGCCATTAAAAACGATATATTGGTAGAAGGAGGGACATGTAACAAGCTCAGAACCTTCAATCAGTTTTTCATTTATATTAATGTGTTGGTGAAAAGAATTGCTTGTTTATGGCGGCAGGATATGAAAGTGGATGAAATAAAATAACTCATTTTATTCATAGAGAAACCTTAATAGGTTATCCCTAGTTTGGTTTGGTTTGTAAAGTTCTTCTGGAAAGGAAAAGGTGCTGTGGGAGGGGTTTACTATTGACTAGCTGTGCTATTTAAATAAAGTTGTGTTGGCTCTAAAAACCAATGCTAGTAACTCTCAAAGCTGTTTTTAAAACTCTTTTTCTACGTTTTGAAAGTTTAAAGTAATGTGGTAAGGCCTGTTTCAAAGCACTACCTTTTTAAACAGCTAAATATTTCAAATACAATTTGGCTCCTGAAATTCTAATGAAGACATGAATTCTAATGAAGCCATGACAATAATGATTGTTAGTCTTCTATTGCCATTGAAACCAACTGCCACAAATGTAGTAGCTTAAAACAACACAGATTTATTGTCTGAAGATTGGAAGTCCAGTAGTATTCTCACTGGGCTAAAATCAAAGTGTCTGGAGGCACTAGGGGAGAATCTTTCCTTTCAACTTTGAGAGGCACCCACATTTCTTGGCTTGTGGCTCCTTCTCCAAAGCTTTCCATAGTCACAGTCCCCTGTCTGACCACTGCCTTCTCTGCTTTCAAGGAACAGTGTGATTAGATTGGGTTAATCCAGATAATTCAGGATGATCTCTCCATTTTAAGGTCCTTAACTAATGACATCGGCAAAGTCTACTTTGCCATAGAAGATAACATATTTATAGGTTCTAGAGACTAGAATGTGGATGTTCTGCCATACAGTGCTGTACCTGAAGGGCCCCTAGTTGTTCTAATTAAAGGAGGTATTAATCCTGCAAATTCTCATCACAGAACTCCTAGATTTTTCCATGATTTGTTATTTGCAATACATATACCAAAAAGAAAAAAGGGTTACTGATAACATATATTGCCTTTGGAAATGGTGTGGAATCAGAAACACGTTGCGTAGGCACGTCCTAACCCAGTTTCGTTGGAATGCCCTGGATTCGTAGAAAGATTGTTGGGTCAGAATGCAGGTATAATGAACACATACTGTTATTTATTATTCACATGCACGTGTTTCTGGTTGGGGTTCTGCTAAAACAGGCTTAGTAGCTTCATTTAAAATACAGTGTTCATATGGAGAGCTTCAGAAACGTTACCCTGAATTACAATCTGCCAATATGAGGCCAACTAACATATATGTTTAAATATTTGATATGGCCTAGAATTGTGAATCTGCTTTGTGTTTGAAGTGAAAGAAACGGTATTAACGCTATCAGTGAGGTAAAGTGTGTGGAATTCTGAGTGATGCAGGATTTAGAGTAGTTAATTCTTTTTTGTTTTGAGTTTGGAGTGGCGGGAAATTGAAAACATGCCTTTTAGTGCCCTTTGTATGAATCGAACATAATTTTGTTTAGAAACATGATGGAACATCATATTAGGAACATAAGATCACCTAATTTACTTATAACATTGAATAAGGAAGAATAGCTAACCCTTCTGAACGTTTTCCCTCTGCCAAACACTGCACTGCAAAGTGGTTTACTGCATTCTCTCATTTAATGCCAACAATAGCCATAGCAGATTTTTAGCTGCATCTTATAGAAGAGGAAACTGAACCTGAGAAGCAATCAAGAAACTTGCTACAAGCTCATGTGGCTCCTTAGTCTCAGTCTGATTCTCAAACCTATACACATTAATTACTATACTCTTCTGCCCTCTGTTCAATTTATTCAATTTTAAAGTAATTTTTATTCAGTTTAAATCAATAAGTGATTTATAGATGTCATAATTCAAATTAAACCTGCATGCTACTAAAATTTAGGACATTTATGTGATTTTATGAGTTTCAAAAATTACAAGCATTTAAACAAAATTTGTCCACCAAAACACAGTTTCAGATCTTCTGGGTTTTTTTCCATAGTGTCATCAACATATAAAACACTCCTTTTAACTGAAGGGAAAACTCAATCTTACTAAATATAAGATTTTTGCTTCAAAAATTTAATCAGTCCCACTTTCTAAGTTGTCACTAGTCATTTGTATTTTTTAATAATCTCCATAGATCTCAGAAAACCAAAAACAATCGCTATGTTTATTTCCATTAACCATATGCCACACAGAGAACTTTCTGTCACATGCTGCAGAAGATAGAAGAACGTGGCACAGGGCTGCAGTGCCGGGAATGGGACGCGGTGACATTGCAAGGGTTTGCTTGGCACATCCGGAGCTACTGTTTGCTGTGTTCTGCAGCATCTGTGAAATTCCAGCAATAGGCTCTAAGCTTCTGACTTGTTTTGTAATCTGTTTTTACATTTTGCAGTGCTAGCATCATTTTAATTTCTGTCTTTGAATCTTCCACCCAAGTTGTAGAAATCTGTGTCTATTACCGTCTTTTAATTCTGCATTCTTTTATTTGGCTTTTTGTGTTACCGAACCAAACATTTATTACATCAAAATTAAGTCAACCCATGTAGATGTCGAAACCAGAAGAAATAAGCAATAGTCAGGGAAGCATCATAAATAGAGGATGGGTGAGTAACAGATGAGAGGTTGAGGCAGGCAAAACAAAGAGTAAGGACTATGGCTACCTGAGAGGGATATTTAAAAGTTGAGATGGGGCCGGGCAAAGTGTTTTATGCCTACAATCCCAGCACTTTGGGAGGCTGAGGCAGAAGGATTGCTTGAGTCTGGGAGTTTGAGATCAGCCTGGGCAACAAAATTAGACTCTGTCTCTACAAAAAATAAAATAATTAGCCAGGCGTGGTGGTACAAGCCTATAGTCGCAGCTACTCTGGAGGCTGAGGTGGGAGGATTGCTTGAGACTTGTTGGCTGAAGCTGCAGTGAGCTTACTGCATTCCATCCTGGGTGACAGAGCTAGATTCTGTCTCAAAAAATAAAAATAAAAAGTTGTGATAGAGACTGGGAGATCAGAATTGGAACCCACAGCTCAGGTAATTGGATTGAGAGAAGTACAAGACCCAGGTGAAATGGTAAGTCAGAAAATGTATCATCAGTTTGAACATTGACATGAACTTGATTTTCAGGCAAAGATTACTTCAGCATGGAGGATAATGTGGAAAGATTTTAGCCCGTAACTGACAAAGCAGGAATCCAAACTCAAGTCTAATCCTGAAGCCGATAGTCTGTATCATGCTTCCTTTGAGGCAAGGAATGAACAAACCGACAAGGCCAGAGTCAAGGTCACACGTAGGCAAGTGAAAGAATGAAAAATTCGGTACATTGTAGAATGACTTAAAGGTTTCCTTTGGTCCAGAATTTCATGTTGTAAGTGATAAAGAGCCTTTATAGGTTTTGTGGAATATTGGGAAAAGGTAGACTTACAGGATGAATGAAGTAACATGTAGGAGAGGAAATGGTGAAACCATTAACTAATTAAATGGATGACAGTCTCATGAAGAACCGACTTCTTTGTACCTCTTTTTGTTTATCTTATACACATTGCCACTGCCTTCTACTGTAAATAACACTGTGTGCTGTGCCTCCTCGTGTTACCTGTGAGCTCCTTCAGGGAAGCATTCGTGCATCCTTGCGTCCCCTTACAGGTGACAGAGTGCTTTGTCTATGCAGTGAGTGACTAGTCGTACATCATGAATATACTAAGATTAGCTTCCCTGGTATGGTGATTCCTTTTATGTTTCAATTTTAAAGTAATTTTTATTCAATAAAAACCAAGTAACTTATATATGGCATAATTCATGTTAAACTGCATGCTACTAAAATTTAGGGCATTCGTATGATTTTATGAGTTTCAGAAATTGTATTTAAACAAAACTTAAAAAGCAAAACACAGTTTTTATATCTTCTGGGCTTTCTTCCATAGCATCCTCAACATATAAAATATTCGTATTTAACTGAGGGGAAATAATTCTCAGTCTCATTGAATACAATTTTTGCTTCAAAAGTTTAATTAGTCCCACTTTCTAAGCGGTTGCTAATCACTTGTATTTTTTAATAATCTCCATGGATTCAGAAAACTAGAAACAATTGGTATGTCTCTTTCTGTTAAACACATGCCAAACGTATCCCAGGCTGAAATGCCAGGGTGCCATCGTAGCTCAATACAGCCTCCAATTCCTGGGCTCAAGTGATCCTCCTACCTCAGCCTCCTTAGTAGCTGAGACTACAGGCTCACACCACCATGCCCAGCTAATATCCTTATTTTTTGTAGAGGTGGGGTCTTGCTATGTTGCCCAGGCTGATCTCAAACTCCTGAGCTCAAGTGATCCTCCCACCTCAGCCTCCTTGGTAGCTGGGACTACAGGCTCACACCACCATGCCCAGCTAATATCCTTATTTTTTTGTAGAGATGGGGTCTTGCTATGTTGCCCAGGCTGATCTCAAACTCCTGAGCTCAAGTGATCCTCCTGCCTCAGCCTCCCAAAGTGCTGGGATTAAAGGCATGAGCCACCACACTTGTCCCCTGATATGGTGGTCTTGAAGTTAAGATCAAAACTCTGATAGCTAAAGAGTTGGAAGGAGTGCTCTAAAGCAGAGGGAACTATCTATGCAAAGACCTTGTATGGGAGCAGCAAGGCAAAATGCAGGACTAAAGTCCCAAATGTCTAAAGCTTGGGGATGAGAGGCACTTGGATCAAGGGCCAGTCTCATGAGCCCTTGCTGTGTGTTTGTCTTCATCCTAAGGCACTGTGAAGCCATCAAGGTTTTAAGCAAGGGTTAATACAATGAAGCTTGTGTTTTGAGAAGGTCACTTTGCTGACCTGATTGTAAAGGGAACCGGAGTGGGTGTGACTAGGTTAAGAGCATTCCACATCACAGATGATGGTAGCTTAGAATATGGTGGTGACTTGGGGTGGAGAGAAGTGGATCAATGAGAGATAATTTTCTAGGTAAAACATTAGGATTTGATGATAGTTTGGATTGAGGTGAAGGGCAGGGAAAAGGGGGCTAAGAATGGAACTCCTAGGTTTCCAGTTGGAAATGAAATGGATGATGATGCCATTCTTTGAGCTGAGAACACTGGAAAAACTAAACTGGTTGGTAGAGGGGAAGACCCATGAGTTGGATGAGACATAGGAATCTGAAAATACCCTTGAGATCTCCAAGAAACATGTCAGGAGGTAGTTGGACTAATGGAAATGGAGCTCGAGAGGAAACTTAAAAAGGTAAATTTGTTTTTGTTTGTTTTTGTTTGTTTTGTTTTGTTTTGTTTTTGAGACTGAGTCTCACTCTGTGGCCTAGGCTGGAGTGCAGTGGCACCATCTCGTCTCACTGCAACCTCCACCTCCTGGGTTCAAGTGATTCTCCTGCTCCAGTTTCCCGGATAGCTGAGATTACAGGCATGCACACCACGCCCAGCTAATTTTTATATTTTTAGTAAAGACAGGGTTTCACCATGTTGGCCAGGCAGGCCTTGAACTCCTGACCTCAAGTGATCCGCATGCCTCGGCCTCCCAAAGTGCTGGGATTACAGGCGTGAACCACCACTCCTGGCTGAAAGAAAATTAATTTGTGCCTCATTGTCGCATAGATGGCAATTCTGACCCAGTGATTCTTCAGCCTGGGTAGATCCCCACAACTGGGCATATGGATCCATTTAAATCTTCACGAGTGATTTTCAGATGCAGTCAGGATTGACATTCTCTGCTCTCACCACTTTCGTTTCCTCCACATGTCTTTCTCCTCCCGCTCATGCAACCCGTTGATCTTGTCTGGTTTTTTTTCTTTCTTTCTTTTTTTTTTGGTGGTGGTGGTTCTTTTTGTTTTTAATTCCTTGGGGATACCACTTACTCTTCAGCTTACAGGTCTCTCAGAGGAAAGTCTTCCTGGTCTCTCCCTCCGGGTGTCTCCCAACTCATTATCTTTGACTGTGACATTTCTCCTTCCCACTGGTCTTCAGTTTTCAGTTTCTACAGTTCATGGGGGTGTCTCACTGTGACTTCAGATGCAGCGTGTCTCAAACCAGGCACATCTTCTTTGCAACATTTTCCCATTTCTCTTAATTTTTTCAAATCACCCAAGCAACAAACCTTGATGTCATTGTTGTTTCTTCTCTGTATTCCTTCTTACCATTACAGCTGTTAACTCCAGGGATTTATGCCCTCAAATTGGGGTATTGCAGTGGCTGTGGCCTGGTAAGAGTGTGAGTTTGGGAGTCAGACCTGGGTTCAAAGCTGGCATATCTTCTTGTCTCTAAGATCTTGGACAACGTACTTAACCACCCTGACTCTGCTTTCTTATTTTATACAGTCGGCTTAAATATATAAGCCTATTAGGTGGTTGTAGAGTTAGCAGTAATTTATGTAGAAAGCGCTTTCTACAGTTCTTAGCAAATAAAGGACACCTAGTAAATGGTAAATACTGTTATTTTGAATGGACCTTCTTGCCTTGACCACTTCTCTCCTCTCTCCTCTTTGTTTTGCTACAGACTATTCTTTTCAAAACATTGGTATTATGTTAGTCTCACTTTCCTTTGTCTCTTTGTGTATTTTTGTTGTTTTGTTGTTGTTTTTTGAGATGGAGTCTTGCTCTGTTGCCCATTCTGAGTGCAGTGGTGCGATCTCGTCCTGCAACCTCTGCCTTCCGGGTTCAAGTGATTCTCCTGCCTCAGCCTCCTGAGTAGCTGGGATTACAGGTGCGCGCCACCACACTGGCTGATTTTTGTATTTTTAGTAGAGATGGGGTTTCACCATGTTGGTCAGGCTGCTTTTGAACTCCTGACTTCGTGATCTTCCCGTGTCAGCCTCCCAAAGTACGGGATGCAGGCGTGAGCCACTGCCCCCAGCTGTGTATTTTTTAATAGTACTTTTCACTGTAGTTATTGATGAATACGTCTTATTTCCCCTCCTGGTAAGTTCTGTGGGTCCAGGCTTTGTGTTAGTCATCATTTTCTGTTTTCTTCTCATCCGATCCTCCACCCAGGCTTAGCACAGGGTCTTATGCATCATGGATATTTAATAAATACCCATCGAACCTCATTATGGCTTTACACAGTTGTGTATTGGCCTTGCTGAACACATTGTGTTCAGTCGTGCAGTCAAGACAACATAATTGGACCCCACATCCAGCCTGATTTCCCGACTTTGCTTTGAGAACCTGCCGAGTTAGCTGGATCTTCAGCAAGTCATATAGATACCATCTCTGTCTCTTTGCTCATCCCACTCTCTGGATCTGAAATGCCCCCTCACTCATCCTGCCCACTTGATTGGCTTGATTTGGATTCTCCCTTGTCTGTGAAGGGTGCCCTGACAGCTCCTGCCCACACTGATGTGTTTCCTCCTTTGAATTCCTGTAGCATTTACAGTCTAGGCTATACCTAAGCAGTGAATCATATCTCAGATCTTGGCCGTAGGTGAATTTCCCCATCTAAAAAGTAGGAATGATGCCACCTGTTTCGCCAAATTGTTGTGGTGGTGACATGAAACAAATTAGGAGAAAGCACTTTGTAAACTATTAAGTGCTGTACACATCTTTTATTGTTTATAAATATGTATCCTTTGAGCGTTGCAATCTGTGAGCTCAGAGATTATTATATCTAATAGCTCTTGCGGTTCTTCTAAAAGCCCCTGAGCAGTGCTGGATACACAGGAAATGTTCATCAAATATTTGTTGACTGGATCATCATATTTTAAATGTATGTGTGTGTGTTTTTTCCTTCTAGGAGCTATTCATCACTAATGAAAGTTGAAAATATGTCTTCAAATCAGGTATGTTCAGGTGGTTTGCATGAATGTTTGCCTTGAAATAATTCACTGAGGTTTTTAATAGTGTGTTACTGGCCATTGTGCCTTACCTTGTTGCAAATGAGTGACTGTGATTTGGCAACCAGGACACCACTCAGGCTAGAAGTCTGTTGGGCATTACGCCTCCTTCCCTGTGGACTTCCTCATGTGTGTTGTTAAGTAGCTCATCTCAGGGAAGGAGATTGTCAGAGCTTGTCTACTGTGGAATACAGAGTCTATTCATTTATATTTACAGGACTTTATTCAATTTCCCCTCTTTTCTGGTTGCAGGCATGCAAAAGTGCCTTCATTTATTAGTGTTCTATATCACTGTGACTGTAGAGTCCATATTATAATTGAGTGAGAACAAAATTATCGCCTTCAATTAAAATAAAAATTACTTACCTAAGATCTTATGTGACTAAAGTGAAGCCTAAGTGACAAAATTGGTTGTTTTTCATGTTCCTTAGGACCTGGGATAAAAACGGGCCGATGACCTATGACACAGTACTGAAAGGGATCTTCTTAACATCACATCTAATTATTTGATTGGAACTGTGTCGGAGAATTATTGTCCTTGAGGCTGTCTTTCCCAAAATTTGTCTTGAAGTACCTAGAGATAGCACAATGTAGCTGCTATTGAGCAGCCTGCAGAAAATGGAAACTGGGTGGATATATTTGGGATTTTGCATGTTTTATAGTATAGTTAAAAATGTAGTCATCCTCAGTATTTGGGGATTGGTTCCAGGACTTCCTGAAGCTACCAAAAAATCCTAGGATCGGCAGGTCGCTTATGTAAAATGGAGCAGTATTTGCATATAACCTATGCACATCCTTCCATATACTTTATCTCTAGATTACTTATACTACCTAAATAGTGTAAATGCTGTGTAAATAGTTCTTATACTGTATTTTTAAAATTTATATTATTTTAATTGTATTTTTAAAATTTTTTTTTCTTCTAAATATTTTTGAGCTGAGGTTGGTTGAATTCACAGATAAAAAGAGTAGGGCCAACTGTAGCAAATTTAAAAAAGATCCCTTGTAAGTCATCTAGTCAAACCCAGATTTAATGCATGAATTAAAAATAATAGGATTTATATCTTGTTTATATCTACATATGCTTCTAAAAATTTGTAAGAACAACATTCTTAATCCACTTATCTATGAAGAACTAAATTTATGAGGCTCCTTTATGAATCGGAGACGTTTCTTTATAATTTATTCCTGAAAAATTCCAGAATAGCATTATTAAATTAGAGCTTTGAATTTGAAGTTTAGAGACTTAACTGTGTTTGCTAATCGTGAGGGATTAAAATCCCTTGGACAAGGGAGCTTTGTCACAGTGGTTGGGTCATTTAAACTCTCTGTGGGGAGTATTGATCATCAGTAAAATGGGCATATTATTCCACAGGGCTGCTTCAGAATTGAAGCAAAGACACACTCGATATGAAGTCTTCCTTGACCTACTCTGTAAATAGTCATATTTTTTATCCCTACGTTCATATAGTCTTTGGTTATATTTTTCCAGAGTATCATTATGAAAAGATGAGATGTGTTTAATCCTTTCTGGAAGCTAATTTCAGATTTCTTGAAACTATTGGAACAGTTTATATACCACAGCTCAGATGTCATTGTTGGGGTTATTTTGCTTTTTGAACTTTCTGTATTTTAGGGCTACTTTCCACCAGAAATCTAGCCCCCATGTTATTTCATGACCTTAGTCATTTCATTCTCTATTATGGATTTTAAAGTTGTATATCATTCCTAAGTTGAGAAAATAAACAAAATACACACACACATATACATACCTACCTACCCACCTACATACATACATATACAAACACCATCTGATCAGTGATGGATGTTAAAAGTCCCAAGACTAGGAAATTGAATTTGTAGCCCAAAAGATTGCTAACCTTTCTACCCTTACTCTCCCTCTGTTGCTTGCAACCCCTGCTCCCTGAGCTCAAGTATGAATCAGGTTCAAGATTCCAGAGGTTTGCACTGGGTGTTTTTATTCTCTCTTTCAGTGAAAATGTTTCTAGTTTTTCTCCATACTTTAAAAGAATAGACTAATTCTCCTTGTAACCATCTTCTGTTAAGGGATACAGATGTTTGTGTTTTGTTTTGTTTTTTTTTCCATAAGTTATTGGAGTACAGGTGGTATTTGGCTACATGAGTAAGTTCTTTAGTGGTGATTTGTGAGATTTTGGTGCATCCATCACCCAAGCAGTATACACTGTACCATATTGTAGTCTTTATCCATACCCCTCCCACTCTTTGAAGTCCATTGTATCATTCTTATGCCTTTGCATCCTCATAGCTTAACTCCCACATATCAGTGAGAACATACAATGTTTGGTTTTCCATTCCTGAGTTACTTCATACAATAATAGTCTCAGTCTCATCCAGGTCACTGCAGATGCCTTGTCATATTCCCACTTTTTATGGCTGCATAGTATTCCTTTGTACATATATACCACAGTTTCTTTATCCACTCATTCATTGATGGGCATTTGGGTTGGTTCCACGATTTTGCAATTGTGAATTGTGCCACTATAAACGTGTGTGCAAGTATCTTTTTTGAATAATGACTTCTTTTCCTCTGGGTAGATACCCAGTAGTAGGATTCTGGATCAAATGGTAGTTCTACTTTAGTTCTTTAAGGAATCTCCACGCTGTTTTCCATAGTGGCTGTACTAGTTTACATTCCCACCAGCAGTGTAGAAGTGTAAGCAATACGATGTTTATGATCAATTTGAAACCGTGATCAGTTGATTTTTTCAGTTAAAGGACGAATGTTTATGTAATAGAGGACTCAAGTTTTAATTTAGCTTATACAGGTTCATCAAGAAGAGTAATTACTGTAATTCCAAAACATAGCCCCAGACAAGTGGGAATTCTGCACATCTAACTCACAGCCTTTTGAGGAATGGCTTAAACTCTCGTTGATAACAACTTGAACTGTCTTACTGAGTTGTTTCATCTTCAGTGTTTGGGATCCAAAGCACTGGCATTTGATATACTAAATGACTCTTTCAAACATTGCTAGTGCTTTTATTTCAGATTAAGACTCTAGGGCAATCCTTGGTCTTGGCGCCTCATGGATATAACACAGTCATTAGTCTGCTCTTTGTACAGTTATCGAAGGCATTTTTACCATGGTTTCTGTTTATCATGCTAATGGAAGAGAAGCACAGAGAAAACCACTAAGCTGGAGCTAAAACCAGACTTCACAGGAACTATGTTTTCTACCCATATCGTATTTCTCTACCATCTTTATTAAGGGCCATTTAGATAAGCCTTAGTCTGATCCCTTTCTCTAACAATGCTGATGTCAAGCAATGGGAAAGAGAAAAGATAAAACAAGTGGAGTGTTCAGGTTGTGACACTGGCAAGCAAATCAGAATGCACACTCTTAGTGAATGTTATTGTCAAAAAGAGTCAGGCTCTGCAACTTTGTGTGTGGCCTTCAGGACTTGCTCATAAACCACGCAATGAAATCAGTCCCTTTGTGCTGTATACCGTTATAAAGGTTTTTTAAATTAAAAAATGTCGCAAACCAGCTAACTTGGTAAACTAGCCCATGTTTGACTTCCTAATAGCCTTTCTATTAAGAAAGAAGAGAAGAAATCAGAGCCATGTTGTGAAGTCCCAAATCTGTGACAATGTTGAGGCTCAGATTACTGGAACTTAGGCCAGAAATGGTTGCATATTGGCAGAATTGCTGGCATGAGGATATTGAGGTAGTGTTTGCTTGGTACATTTGTTGAAGGACCTGTCATGTTTTCTTACAGTCACATTTGTTTTGCACTGTACTAGGTCAGGTGGGACTTACTTCATTATTTAGAAATCAGTGGTCACTTATTGCTGTGTAATCCAGGCCGTAATGACACCTCACAGAATATAGATGTTAATTCAGCTATCTCAGAGAGCTGACAACCCAAGATGGAGAAGTGATGAGTGAATTTAATTATTTTACTTTCTGAACTCAGCAACTGAGATGAGAAGAGCAACTTACTAATTAGATAATTGTAAATTTTAAATATTGAATTATTTTCAAGGCTTTTATGGTCTCATTTTTTTGTTTCCTACAGGATGGCAATGATTCAGATGAATTCATGTAAAAAAAAAAGAAAGGAGAAAAAGGACCTTTGAAAGATGTGAATGTAGAGACAATTGCAGACCTTTTGGTTTCATCTGTGTTCTGATATAAAAATACAACCAAAATTCTACCTTCATCCTACCCAGAAATTATTGATTTTTGATTTTAAAAAATTGTACCTTTTGCTGACAGAAAAGGATCAGATATGTATAAAATAGTTGAACTTGACAGCATATAACCTAACGTAAAATGTTTTGCTTGGAACTTGTGTCTTGGTACCTTGTGAAAGCAGGCTGCCTTGTTCTTGAGATAGACTTTAAAATGAACCAACTCTGAAAAGTACTTCTGTTGCTCTGGTCTATCCTGAAACAGATGTCTTGAAACACTTTTCATAGTCTTAAAATAATCTTCACTTCTGTTAAGAAGAACATGTTGCTGGGTAATTATGCGAATGTTTCCTGTCCCTGAATTTTTGATTAGAAAAAGGGCATATGGGTTTTGAAAAAGAGATTTTTTCAGAAGATTATGCTTATTCCACGTTCCATCTCGTGTCATCTGGAGTCTGTAGTGTAGTGATAACCCTCAACTTAGTCTGTCCCAGCACATATCCTTGCTTCCTCTGAGCAGGGGCATATCTTAGTATCATCATATTTAAAGAAATTGATGGTGTTCATCAAGGTAGGGCCTGTGGCAGTTGTTGCCTGGACACCAAGTAACTTAGGCCACCTGTCGACAACTTCTGGAGCCCAGGAGTAATTTCTCAGCATTGAGGTAAAATAGGATGGAGTGCTCTGTTGATCATTTGGAGATTACCTGATTTATTGCCTTGGGATGCAGCGTGAAGCAGAAGTCCATATTGCAATTATGATTTTTAGAAGGAACTAGAGTGTTTCACTAGCCAACCGAGCAACTATTTTCTTTACCTTGAAGTCATATTTGAGTTGTAACCCCAGAGTTAATTTCTCATTGTAGATTCAGTAACTTAGTATGTAACATTACTTCTCCGTGACCACTCGCTATCTGTTGTGATTCTGAGCAGAAGATGTCTTTTGATTGCAGTATGTAAGGCAACCCCTGTAGAAGGAGACAAAACAAGGAGAAAGAGAACAAAGCCACCAGACCAGAGCGAGATGGATATTTTACTCACACCCACAGCAGCAAGAATGACCTTCTGCAGCAGATATTCCACCTGTAATAGCACTTTGGAACTGTGGGCAAAACCAAAAGGCTAGTGTTTCCATTTATTTCACGTTGGTGAATGGGGTTGAACTGGAAAATTCACTGAGGCATAACTCACTGGCCGTTACGAGAGGGGATAGAAGATGACTTTAGAGATGAGTGGTTTTGTTTATGTGTCTAATGATATTCAGTCTGACGTTCTGCAATTTTAAAAGTTATAATAAAGTATCATTTTTTTTTATCTGGAAGGGACATTGATGTATTCTTAGAATTTGCTATAAAAGTGGCCCCCATTCCACAAGCTGATTTTGAGGGGTGATCTTACTGTAAAAACCTCATTCATCATAGGCAGTCTGACAGATTCTGTAAGGCTATCATCTTTCTCCTCCTCTGCCTAAGCTCACCTCCTTTCTTCCAGCTGCTCACTGGGTCAAAGGGATGTCCTTTCTCAGATACACTCTTGATTGACTGTGAATTCATAGCTGTGCTCCTTCCATACTTCCAAGGAGTCCGGCTTCTCAGAATTCTCTGTACCTCACTGCAACACCGTTGACGGATGGCCCGACAGAGAATTTTCTGTTTTGCTATGGTATGAGAGTCCTGGGGCTCAAATTTTAAAGCATTTCCTAACTCTCAGCTTACACTGGTTTAAAATGTCCAGGTCTCTCTGCTGAATTCTCTTGTTTAAGATTCGTAACTGTCCAACCTCATCTGTGTTGATTCCTACATTACTCCCCAGCCTCTGTGTTTTATTTTTCCCCATCTCTGTTGGTCCCAGGGAGCGAGGCGTTTTCTTTTGAGGACTTATAGGTTGATCGCCCACAGGTCAAACTGTTGGCATTCAACGCTCTCATTCTTGCTATTGGATTGTTTCCTAAGCATTTAGTTAGGGGAAATAGAAATTGTTGCTATTTTTATGAGCTGTGCCCTTGATCAAATCTGTGCTGTGGGTCTGAGTCACTTTGCCAACACTGTCTTCAGTTTCACCACTCTGATCAGCATGCAGGCGAGGGGGACATCTTTGGTTACTTCCTAACTGCTATCTTCTATAGCTTTGGACTTCATATTTCTTATCCACTTTTGTCTGAAAAAAACTTTTATGGGCAGAGACTTTGTCACCGTGGTTGAGGCCTAGAACAAATCTTAAAAGTTTACCAACACAGATGTTGAGAAGTTTATGAAAAGCACTGACATTAGCAGAATAGGTGATGGACATTAGTTGAATCTCTTCAGTGTCTGTGTGTTTTGTTGTATTGTCTTTAACTTGTTCTTGAAGCATAGATTGCAGCGAGCCTTTCAGCTGTTCAGTGCCAGCGGTTTTCCCCACTCAGAAAAGATGGTGTGAGCCATGCACACAGCCGGCAGGATTAGGCGGGGAAGTTTCAGCTGCAGCTTCTAGTTTAAGACCAAAGCCCTTCCTCCCACTATTGCATCTGTCTAGAGGGGAAGTTCTTGTTTTTCCAAGCTGGAACTGTTTATGAGGAAAGCGGAGCAGGGTGTGTGGAAAAGGAACAATTTTCTAATTTTTCCTGACCACGTGATACTGAGGCCTGCTTTTTCTTTGATTTGAGGTACAGCATGTGAATAACAAATTTCCATATTCAAAATGATCTGTGGTGACTGGATGACAACACAGTTTAAAGCAGACTAAAAACTAATCAGACTACAACGAAAAAGTATACAATTAGAGGCTTGGAGATTCCAGAAGCTAAATTCGGCTTTGACCACCTAACTCCAGTGAATAGGTGGCCAGCTCCAAAGAAAACAAAAAGGGCGGCACCGCTGCTGCCTGGGAAGCTCACATCCAGCTGGCGCCGTGAAGCTCCTTCCTGCCAGGCACGTGAGTTCAGCGTGGGCAAGAGACTTTTATGCACATTCTGTCATTCAAAGGCGATACCAACCCAGATGCAGCATGTCCTGAATGAATGATCTGTAAAATACAATAATAAAAGCTTATAGTTTGAGTAGAACTGTGTGTGTGTGTGAAAGATTTCACTTCTCATTTTCTCCTGCAAGTTCCAGTCTCACGGATGGGATGTGCCTGCTTATTTTAGGCAAGTGGGAGGCGAGAATTGCTTGCTCCCCGTAGATGATGCCCTTCACACAGTACAGCAGGAGGAGAGGAGCAAATCATAGTAAAGGGAAAGGTCGCCCAGAATTCCAGGAAGGGATTGAAGAGCTGAAAGGCCTCGGTGTTTGAACGCTAGCACTTGGAGTTTACAGCTTGACCCTCTGCTCTCCCAACATTCCTGGGGGTCTGCCTGAAATTTTGGCCAAGGCGAGCCTGCAAATGTGAAGACTTCCTGGATGGTTTCATGGATGACTGTAGGGCTGTGGATTGTGTTCTGTTGATAGATTTTCACCTCTTTTTGATGATTGCAGCTATTATGAGAATGGCTTGCAGGGAGGTTTTAGGCTCAGAGAACCCACACAAACATAAGAGTTTTCTCCCAGCTGTAAAGCATGTTTGAATTCTTAAATGTTTATAGAGCACATTTGGTTTACATTTCTAGTCAGGGCATTCATGGATTTTAGCCTTAGCTGCTAGCGTTCTGGGGTTTAAATGTTCAAGTAAATTAGTCTATATGAGGAATGTAGTTTTGAAACCAGAATTTTCATACAAGAGGTAGGAATGTGTGTATATACTAGGTGACTTAGCAGTGCAAACAATACAAATACCTACCTAATGCCATCTTTTAACGAGGTCTATTGTTGGATTATACATACTTCTTTTTCTGTCTTAAATTGATTGTTTAGTTTTATCTTTCTGATTTCATTATTGTGTCAATTATTGGAGGGGCTGTGAGCTTTCTACCTTAGTGAGATTGTGACTATAGGTCTACACCATAGCCAAGATGAATCAAGCTGGTCTCTGCCCTTGGCGTGCTGCTGAGTGGCACCAACCTGGCAAGGAATGGCAGCCAGAGAAGTGTAGCTCACTCTAGAAATCCTTATTAGCTTTTTGGATTCTCAAGCCTGGTGATGGATGCCAATATTTAAGCACAACAAGGAATTCTCCAAAGTAAGTGTTGTGCTTTGTTTAACATCAAGTAACCACTGCAGTGAAAATATTAGACAAATGGCCTGACATTTCACATCCTGCCTGGATGAGGCCTTAGCTGCCTGGGCTCCTGCTGGTGTTTTAGTTTCTCATCAGCAGTTTGCTTTCCATAGACAAGGCTAACATTTGCTTATGATTTCAGAAGGGAACTGGGATCTTTCAGGTGGTGAAGGCTGATCTGTCAGACTTGAAGCTTTTTGACCCTTGGTGAAGACACAGTGCAGGGTCAACAGATTAAAACCACAGACTGAAAAAGAGAGAATATTTGGGGCACCGTGCAGTGCCCTGGAACCAGCCTAGATGAAATCATCTTCCTGTAGGCCACAGTTTTCATGTAATATATCCCTTCCAAACTCTGAAGTTTGTATTTTTATTTTATGTACTGCATCAAGTAGAGACTTACATAACATTTCAAAACTAAATTGCTTTTAGAAGTCTTTGGAATCAGTTGGAAGGTCTGAAATAGACAAAGCTTAAATCTGGTTACCAAACAGCCTTTTTTTTTAATATACAGAGTCTTGCTCTGTCGCGAGCTGGAGTGCAATGGTGTGATCTTGGCTCACTGCAATCTCTGCCTGCCAGGCGATTCTTCTGCCTCAGCCTCCCGAGTAGTTGGGACTACAAGTGCACACCATCACACCTGGCTAATTTTTTTATTTTTAGTGGAGACGGGGTTGCCATGTTGGCAGGTCTCGAACTCCTGACCTCAGGTGATCCACCCGCCTCGACCTCCCAAAGTGTTGGGATTACAGGCGTGAGCCATTGCGCCCAGCCCCCAAAAACCTTTGCACAATTGCCTATTCTTAGAAAATGTTTTGTGTTTTCAACAAGAAGGGGCAGGAGGCACAGGGTCCTTTTCTGCCAAGTAGAGGAATTACCTGCTATGTTTAAAACCAGCCATTGGGGCTTTGCAACATAGTAAAACCTCAGTTAATAGAACAATTACTGCTGAAATGGGGTATAGTTAATTAAAAAAAAAAAAAACCAGAATAATAACATCAATTACTTGGAATTTTTGTCTCCCTTACTTCTGTGGAAACAGTACATCAGCAGCTGAGGTGAAGGAGTGCAGTGGCCACTCCTGTAATCCCAACACTGGTAGGCCGAGGCAGGAGGATTACTTGAATGCGGGAGTTCAAGAGGCTCC